AGGAAATGCAGGAAATACAGGAATTCATTAGTTCCAATTCCTGTATTTCCTGCATTTCCTCCATTAGTTCGTTCCATCTTGCTTAACTGAACACAGCCCTACCTTTGCCATGTTAAGAAAATGTCTTCAACGTTGAGAGAGAGACAGCTGGTGTTGAATAGTAGCCTCATCTTTGTCTAGCGAAGTAGTGGGGTAAATGATAGAGAAAGAGTTACTATTCAAAGTATGTTGTCTCTCTCAACGTTGAAGACATCTTTTCAGCCAAACGCGCAGTCTATATATTAGATTTGGTTTGGTGCATATATGGCTCAAAGGACCGCCTCAAGTTAGTCCATACGCCATTCTAAAGCCTATGTCACACTACGGATTGGGATTGAGATTAGATTGAAATTTGACCAATTAGAAAAAAGAAAACCAATCCTAAGTTTAGTGATCTTCTCTCTGATTGGCCAAATTGCAATCCAATCTCAATCCTAATCCGTAGTGTGACATAGGCTTAAGAGTCTATATATTATACGTCTATGTTCGGGATTGTGAATAGAGTCGAGAATGGATTGTGTGCGTGTTCCCGTCCGCGAGCGCTGCGATGTCCACGTGTCGACTATGTGAACTATTTTGTATACTTACAGCGCGCAAAACGCGTCAGCCAATCAGTTTTGTTGCTTTTCCGTCCGAGAGCGAAGTAATCTGTTATTGACTGTCGCTTTGTTTCCTGTTTCGTATTATTTTTTTTCTTTTCGGGACACTCTTTGTCGGAATCTGTGCGTAGATGTCGTGAGGTAGTAGGCTAATGCTACGCACGTATATGCCGGAATATTTCCGTGAAGAACCACGCGCGAATCGTGGGAATCGAGTTCTACGAGAAGAAGCGGAAAGAGGAAGGAGCCGCGGGAATTGTTCGGACATTGCGTTCTCGTTTGTTTCCATTTGAGAAATATGCACAAAGTAGGCAAACTCAGCTCGTCGATTGATATCATACCGTTGCAAGGCTCGAGCGAGAATTACAGACAGAGATATTTGAATAATAAGGACAGAATGCATCCGAGAATGTTTCGGGATCAGACGTTAATTGGTCGTGTGCAAACGGTAATTATAAATTCCGGCTCTTTTTTTCTAATCGTCGCACTTTGTACAACAACGTGACTTGTGCACGGAGTGCGAACGATTAAATTTCTTCTGTTCGGAGCAGCAGTTCGTTTCTCGTGACAGTATTTTTGTACATACATATATATATCCATATTTATGTGTATATATATATATACACAATTATTTTACAGTATATGCATGAAAACGAGAACAGAGTGTACATTGACGTTCTTGAGATGGCAGATGCGTTGCAAAGACGATATCCGGATTATCGACATAAAAAACGTAACGCGTTTCGCACGATGGTGCGCAAGGCTTACGACGAGCTCACTGAGATGTTTTCGCAAAAGCCTGCCAATCAACAAGACACCTGCTCCGTATTCGATGACGATGAAGATTTTGAGGATGTCGATAATGAGGTATTGCTCGTAATAGAGAGAAAAAGAGATAAACTTTGTTCGAATATTATTTTATGATGCAACATTTTAAATAAAGCCACTTGATTTTAGTCAGATTCGCAACATGCTTTAGTAGGTGATACCATATTGCGTATGTATCAAAGACCGCATGGCAAACAAAATGGGAATTCGAGCGACAAAGAATTGATAGACATCAGTAGCGACGATGATGTGTCTAAGGTTGAGTCTAAGAACGAAAAAGATTTGAAGCAACCCGATTCTGTAATTGAGGAATCTCTGCAAGCGTCGTCAACGGAAGTTGCAAAATCGGCAACTTCGAAGCCAGAGACATCCGCTTCAAAATCTACGTCAGTAAATGTAAATTCCAAATTAGAATCATCTGCGCCGTCACAAATGGTATATATATATATATATGTACTACGGAGTATAATTCAGAGATATGTTTTTGTTTCGTCGAGAGATTTTGTCTTTTACGTTACATATACTGATAATTTTAGACCGATAAAGAGAAGCCATTTGTTGAATCTACGAGAAAACGACCGAGAGAGAAGGAGAGCGATGGACAATCTTTTAATACAAAAAAACTGAGAGTTGTACCTGTCACAGAACCAAAACACACATTTTCTGATGTAGGGGGTTGTGATAAAGTCTTGAAAAGTGTCTGCAAACTGCTGGCCCACATGAAACATCCCGAAATCTTCAAACAGCTCGGTGTGTCTCCACCGAGAGGATTTTTGCTTCACGGGCCACCTGGATGTGGAAAAACATTGCTGGCACATGCCATTGTGGGAGTAAGATTTATATTTAATTCAAGAAAAAAAAATCGTCTAAAGTATATGCTGCACTAGAAATTGTCTTCGGGTTGTTGCAATGAAGAAAATTTATATTTGTGTAGCAGGTTGTAGATAATATTGCAACATTTATAATACTGATTTGTTTTATTCTCATTTTTCTTCCGTTTGGATATTTTTTTTTTAATATCTAGTGCAACTATATAAAGAAAAACAGTCCGCAACCTTAATAATTAATATTTCGCAATTTTTTACAATTAGGAATTGAACATACCTCTGCTAAAAGTAGCTGGACCCGAAATTGTAGCCGGAGTGTCTGGTGAAAGCGAGGCTCGTATCAGAGATTTGTTCGACCAAGCTTTGACTCTTGCGCCATGTGTTGTTTTCTTGGACGAGATAGATGCTGTTGCTCCACATAGAGCTCTAGCGCAAAGAGAAATGGAAAGAAGAATTGTCGCACAACTGTTATCAAGTTTAGACGGTGAGGATCGCAATCGGTTGCGTTTGAACTTTTATTGGTTTTTCGCGAAAAGATTTCTGAAGATCGTTTTTTTTTTTTTCTAGAATTGAATCTCAGAGAAAATGGAGATAGAGTACTGGTGATTGGTGCGACAAATCGACCAGATTCATTGGATCCCGCTTTGAGAAGAGCCGGACGTTTTGATCGCGAAGTGTGCCTTGGAATACCAGACAGAGACGCGAGAGCCAAAATTCTAGCGGTGCATACTGAAAAACTTGCTCTGGCTCCTAATGTTAGTTTGACGACGATAGCGTCTCTTACTCCAGGTTTTGTAGGCGCGGATTTAGTTGCCTTAATCAGAGAAGCTGCCATGGCTGCTGTGGATCGGTAAGCAATTTTCATATATTATGCACGCGTGTACGTAAATGTGTGTGTGTGAGTATATAACGTCAAAAATTTATCAAGTGTAACAATTTATATTTAATTGTTATAGAGCATTTGAAGATTTAAATAGACCAAAAAAGGAAGAAAACTTACCGGCGATAACCGAAGGCAACGAACAGACTGAGAAAGAAGATCAAACTGTTCAGGAAGATTCGGGAAATGTAATTAATACTAATGTCGCAACATCAACTTCTTCTGCAACATCTAGTGTGGAGATACCAAGTACTACCGCGTTTTTGGAACAACCTAAAAACCAGGAAAACGCTGAAATGGATGTGATACAAGAAAACTCGTCGGATGTGGCGAGCTTGTTGGCTTGGCTGCGAAGCGAGCCTCCGCTTCCGCCGGAACGCTTAGCAAATTTATACGTTGAGCACAGTGATTTTGAGGCTGCGTTGCATGTTGTCCAACCCTCAGCGAAAAGAGAAGGCTTCGCAACAGTTCCTGATGTATCGTGGGACGATGTTGGCTCTCTACAGGATATTCGACAGGAGTTACAAATGGCTATTCTTGTGAGAATCAAGTTTCTGTGGAATAACCATATATACGATTCTTTTTGCAAACCGTGGAATTTCTATTTAATTGGTTTTTATATTTCAGGCCCCGATTAAACATTCTGAACACTTTAATGCGTTAGGTTTAACCGCTGCGAGCGGAGTATTATTGTGCGGCCCACCTGGCTGCGGAAAAACATTATTAGCCAAAGCAATTGCGAACGAAGCTGGTATTAACTTCATTTCCGTTAAAGGTCCTGAACTTCTAAACATGGTAAGTTTAAAATAGTGTTCCAACATTTACATCTGCAAATATGAAAACGATTTGATGTGTGACCTTGTCTTATATACTTTTTGTAGTACGTCGGCGAAAGTGAAAAGGCAGTCCGTCAGTGTTTTCTAAGAGCAAAGAATTCGATACCATGCGTTATATTTTTTGACGAGCTGGATGCTTTGTGTCCCAAGAGATCGGAAGGCGATAATTCCGCAACGTCGCGTGTGGTCAATCAAATGCTTACAGAAATGGATGGCGTGGAAAGTCGACAGGGAGTGTTTATCATGGCCGCTAGTAATCGCCCCGACATCATAGACTCAGCTGTTTTGAGGCCAGGGAGATTAGATAAAATTTTATACGTCGGTCTCCCAACAGCTTCGGATCGGGTTGACATTTTACGAGCATTAACGAAGGTATGATTACATTACATTAATATATAAAGATACGTATACGCGCACATGTATGACTGACAGAGTGAATCAATGTCCGCAATTCCGGAAGAAATTCCTCTTTTATGCGCTATCTTACACCCGTTAGCTACTAAAAATAAAACAGCGCGTAGAAAAAGAAACTTTCTTTCTTGGTTCAATGCCGATCTCTGATAGAAATATTAGCTTTAAATGATAAATAATAATTTATATTTTCTCTTTATGAAGAAACCCGTTGACGACGTGCATGTTTCAATTTGTAGAATGCAACGAAACCAAAGCTTGCTGCGGATGTCAATTTAGAACAGATTGGATATAACGCCAAATGCGAGGGTTATACCGGAGCAGATTTAGCGGCTTTGATAAAGGAGGCTGGTATGGAAGCGTTGAAGGAAATAATAGACGGTTATGGACAGCCGGAAATTTCGATGCGGCACATCTTTCTGGCATTTGACAAAGTCCAACCGTCAGTTCGCGAAAAGGCAAGTAGGCGAGAAGGCATTTATATTTGATTCTTATTCGTATATAAAATTAATAACGCGACAAACACATTTTGTAGGACATTAAACATTATGAAAAGCTGAGCAAGATGTATTCGGTCAAAAAGAACTCCGACATTACACCTATGGAAACACCGATAGACACACCGATAGTTGACGTAGTAATGGAACCAATGGAAACTTAAAGTACAAAAAAGTGAAAAACTCTTAAGAATACAGAGAAAAAAATCGCTATAGAACTCTTCCATTACCAACACTAACTAGATCATTTAGACTAGACTTTTTACACATCCGGGACATAAAAAGTATTTCTTTTAGGCGCGTAAGTTTTCATTGTCGGATATATATTTCAACAACATGGATTTGGATTTAATAATTGTAATGTTACTCATTATTATCTTTTGAGATGTTTTAACGCTTCAAATAATTAAAGTATTTCTAGAAAAGATTGTTATTTTCTAATGTAAGTTAGATATACACGGAGGGTGGTCAAAAACAATAAGAATGTGAACAATCTTATTTCTTCTATATAATAATACAAAACTGTCTCTAAACAGCAACTTAGGTAATCTCAACAAAAAAAAAAAGGAAAAAGAAATCAAACATTTGCGAGAAAGACTATTCACAAAATTGTACATGTCTATTGTAAGAATTGTATTGAGGATAAAGTCTATCGTGTCGTATATTAATAAAAAAGCTTGACTATGTAACAAATGTATGTGTACGCTTCTGTTATTTTTTGTCCACCCTCTATAAAATGTACGTTGTGTGTTTAATAGAATATAAGAATCTTTATATACTGAATTTTTCAATAAGGTAAAAAATTAAAATAAAAGCTTGATCTCAATAAAATTTGTATTGAAAGTCAAATTCTTTGAAAATTGAATTTTCACAATTGTTTATTGTCGCATTTATTTAGTTACATTCTCAATTTATACATTCGATAAATCTATCACCGTATTCACCATCTTTATGTTGCTCCTCCATCGTTTGAGCAGTTGCACAGAGAGACTGATACCAGATAAATAAGTCACATATACTAGATCTAAAATACCGAATGTTTTTGATTAGACACGTTGGGCATAAATTGACCATAGAGAAGTACATGACTGCACAGTAATGACCATAGACTGTACACAGTTTATATCACCCAATAAAATTGTACTTAAACTAACTAATGTAACGTACTCGAGCTCCGCAAACTAAAACATCTAATGGAAAATAAATTTAGTTACACTAGTAAACATGAAGGCAAAGTCGGATAATGTTTATATACAGAGAAAATTATACGGACGATCAAACATTTCTATTCTAAACATAAAATGAGAATAACTATAAAAATACATTTAATTCGGATCAACTATCTGCAGTTGAGAAACTCTTAAGAACTGAAATAGAATTTTTTAGTATAACTTATTTAAATATTTAAGAAAAAACTGCGAAGGATTGTTGCAAGTTTAGTCTCAAAAATCGTACCATTATAGAGATTGACAGCTCTATTGCGCGATATACTTCGTTATATGAGATTAAGTCTTTTTTTAAATCAGAGATAAAATATTAAGCGCATCCCAAACCACAATGTATATACGTGTATATGCGCGCGCGCGCGTGTGTGTGTAAAAGACATTTTAAATACATAATAATAAATAATAGTCCATATGCAATTTTACGTTAATTTTCTTAGACGATTATCGAACGAATTAAAAATTACATGAAATTCTCATGCGGTATGTTTACATGGTTTTACATTTAATACTTGTTTTACGTGTGTATATATATATATATATTACTAAAACTCTCAGGCATTATTTATTTTGCGATTTTCTACAATCCACTTGTGTGAAAGGACATCTTTCATATTTAATCTTTTCTCCGGATCGGTAACTATCAGCTGAAATAAAATTCGTAAAAAATTAACTAAAGTTTTCACACACATGACGTCTTTGTTAAAAATTTATTAATGTTATTAACTTGCCTTTGAGATCAGATCTTTTGCACCTTCGCTGACAAAACTTGGAAACCTGTATCGCAATTTTTTTATATTCATATAAGTTTCCTCGTTAGTTGGCGCGTAGAAAGGAGGTTTCCCAACTAAGCACTCGTAACACAATACTCCGACACTCCAGTAATCAACTGTGTGATTGTGCGTTTTACCCGATACCATTTCGGGTGGCAAGTAATCCAGAGTGCCGCAAAGTGTGTCTCTTCGAGACGAAGGCGCGTGAACAGACCATCCGAAGTCAGCTATTTTCAATTCGCCGTTTGCTCCAAGTAGCAAATTCTCGAGTTTAATGTCACGGTGAATGACACTTTTGCTATGGCAGTATTCTAACGCGTCAGCTAACTGAGCTATGTAAGTGGCTGTCCTAGACAAAGTACGCGTATGTGTTTAATCCTAATTGTTATACAGGATAAAATTTTTTCAACTTACCTTTGTTCGTCGAATCGTTTATTCGGTTGATTGTTTAATTCTTTGTAAAGCTCTCCTTTGGGTGCGTATTCCAGTATCAAATAAATTCGCTTATCGTCATAGAAATATCCGTACATTCTCAAAATATTTGGATGCCTGTTAAAAATTAAGGTCACGTGTTTTAATGTAAAAAGAAATTCGCAAACACACAGTTAATTAATGAGAACGGAATATGAGAAAAAAAACCACCTCAAGTGAGTTTGAATTTCTATTTCTCGTCGTACTTGATGTGAAATCTTGGCGTCTTCTATTTGCGATTTATAAAGCACTTTCATGGCAATTACAAATCTCGATTTCTTTTCTCTGGCCAAGTACACATTACCAAATTTTCCTTTACCCAAAGGTCGTCCGATATCGAAGTCCGACAACACCCATCTCTTCTGGTTCTCATTTTTTTGATTCTCATTTTTACTCGAGTCTGCATTCGAGCTCGAAACTTTTGAAGAATCGCCAGTTTTGCTATCTGTGATCTCTTTGACGTTCTCGTTGCTATGTTTTTGTTGAGTTGTTTGATTGCCAGCTGATTTAGATACAAACGCTAATTTAGGAGGTGGCATCAACTCGACGGATTTCTTTGCAGCGTTGCTCCTATTCTCTTGACTGGCACTTTTCGTGGAACTAATTTCACAAATCTGTTCCATTTCATTAATGGTATTTTTTGCATTCTTCAATGGATTAACATCCGTTGCTTTTGAAATAAGTTTTTTAATGTAGGTAACATCTACCGTTTGTATATCTTTGTCCATTCCTCCTATATAATTTTATATCTTTATCCTACAAAGGAACAACAAAAATAAGACAAATAATCTTGATACTTCTCGCGTAACATAAAGCACTTTGTGTGGAAACAGCATGTAAATACCTTTTGTTTGTGTAAAAAGTGCTAACACGCGTAAGTGTTAGCTTTTTTTCCAAGTATTTTGCAAAACCACCAAACGAAAATGTTTAACTACACAAATTTTGCACGCGTACGAGAGTTCGAGGATCCGGGTGTCGAGCAAACGCGAAATAAACGGCGTACCGTATTCTCCAGATGCAACGCGCTATTCAACAAATCATCGCGAAGAACGCAATCCCTCGAAGGTACTTACTCTCTCAGCGAGATGCGGTATTCGAGTCGAGACGAAATCGCCGCCGTGATATCTCTCTCCGGTCTGTTTAAACTTCAAACGGTTTTTCAAAATAGCGAATGTCTTGCGCTGATTGGCCAACACGAAATGCTCCGCGGATCACGCAAACGAAAGTAGATGAGAATCGCCGTCATCGTCGCAACAATCTGGCGAGTTAACTTTTGAAATCTCCCGTCAGATGATGCGCTTCTTGTTAATGACGTCATAATATTTCAGCAGAGAGAAGACTGAGAGCGGCCATGCCATTGTTGTATTTTACGACGGTTTCCAGCCGCTACTTTCAGCGCCGGGTTTCACTTTGCGTGGAACTCGCAAACTACGAAACGAGTTCCAGGCGCATACGATAAAAATGTATCTCGGTAAAAGTCTGTGCTAAATTCACTTTCATTCGGTTTGAATCCACTTTACTGTCGATAAGTAGAACTGCCAAGAATCGAGAGCATCGGTGATGGAGGCACGCACGCAAACAAAACCGTGTCCGTGTGCGTGACGTCCAACGACATGAATGAAAGTGGATCTAGCACGGACTCTAACCGAGATACATTTTTATCGTATGCGCCTGAAAGTGAAACTCGTTTCGTAGTTCGCGAGTTCCACGCAAAGTGAAACCCGGCGCTGAAAGTAGCGGCTGGAAACCGTCGTAAAAAACAATGGCATGGCCGCTCTCAGTCTTCTCTCTGATTTCAGCGGTAAACCAAGCGCTGCGATTGGTTCAGCTCTGAGGATTTTGCGACCGCGATCGTGCGGTGCGTGCCTGGTTTAACTTTTGTCTTATCAGTGTTTGTCGTTGTCTTATATCTTATCTCTACTTGTTGCTCGGAACACGTGTGTTTCTTTTTTCTCGTGAAATTGTTATTGTCTAATTTCACAATTATTATGCAGGCGTGAGAGAACGTGTGTGTCATTGTGAGGCTTCCAACTTCAAAAACTTTTGGACAGCGTTAAAAAAAAGACAAATCATGTCTCAACTGTACGAATTTTATGATAAATTAGAATATGATAAGGTCGATCGAAAGGTGAATATGAAACATAATGTAATAATATCCTAGGTCCAGTTTCATAATTTTATTTTTAGGAAATATTGTCCAAAATAAAGGCTTTGGCTGACACAGCAGAAATTAAAGATGTCAATAACACTTGCCAAAGGTACAAAAAGAACAATTTTAATATTTTACACCGCAACTAATATAAAAAATGTAGAAAAAAGGTTTTACTTTTTTCTAATTTACAGATATCGTGAAACAGCACTTGTGATGAAAAACAATATATCTCTTTTTCATGCTGTTTTTGGACATGTTGATGTGGCTACTAGTATAATAGAATGTTTAAATAAATATTATGCTAAGCTTGAACCTTGCTTTAATATTGGTTTATATAGTATGTAGCTTGATGTTGGTATGTAGTGTGTTTTTGTGGTTTACTTTTTTTTATAAACTTTGTTTTTTGTTTGTTTCTTAGATGGAAATTATTTTGTTGATGATGTAATTTCAATGATCACGCTTTTCAATTTACCGTCAGATTATACATATGTAAAATGTTTTCTAGAGAAAATGCTTGTGTAAGTACGTTTACATAAGAGTGATATTTATTGTGATAAAGTAAATAATAAGAAATATATTTGTTAAAATTGATAATTATCGGAGTGTCTATATATTATTTATAAGTATATTATTATGTATTTTAGAGAAGGTTCCGAGTATAATCTCAGTGTTGTGTATCTTTTCAGGTTTCCTGATGTACCAGTATATTGTATTTCATTAAACAGTAATATAAACATATCATTATTGTTAATAAATGTGGAAATAAAAGTATTTTTGTAATTAAAATTTTAAACTTTTTTTTTACAGAGCTAGAGTTTGAACTCGTACTTTTAGAGGACTCAGACTTACATGCAGTTATGTTTTACCTAATAAGAATGTGTACAACTGATGTTTATTATTCTCTGCCAACCAAAATTTTGATTCAAGAACCAATAAAAGACAAATTTTTATATTATAAAGAAAAATATGAAATTGAATATGAAGATTGTAGTAAATTACGTGATGTTGAAATCAAAGTATTTCGATCGAAGCAAGAATTGCTTACGCCTAAGAAATCTCATTTTGTGAACTTTGTATCCATTTGGTCTGAAGATATTACAACTGCAAAAAATTTAGCAATATCCTTAAATGTACAGCGACATAAGTTACATATATACATAATTAATATGATTTTTTCTTCGGTATATAGTATTAAAATAATTTTTTTATGATTTAGAGAGAACAATGCTATTTCTCTGAAAGTATTTATATAAAATAAATTTTTTATGATTTAGAGAGATTGTGTATTTATAAATACATATTACGAGTTCTTTAGCGGTGATGAAGTTCTTTTGCCTATAAACAGAATTCTTGGAAAGTCCTTGGAAGGTACATTGGCCACTCATCGTTTCAAATGTAATTGTAATGATGATAACACAGTAACAACACAAAATGTACTAGATGGCCCAGTCAGTAATTTGTTTTATGATGGCTCGTGGCAAAAACCTGTGAAAGAGAGATATTGGACGCATATAAATGATAAAATGCATGGTGTATGGGCTCAGGCAGAATGGTAAAACAATTATTTCCATATTCTTCTTACTTTTATCCTTCGATACTTCTTCAAGAAATGTTTAACAAAAACTCTACAGTCAAATCTTTCTGTTTTTTCTCTTTATATTCTCTCTCTTTGTATGTTTGACAAAATTTTTTATATTTTATGTCGTTTTCTGTCACTACTAATTGGAGGAAGAGAGCAAGAATTAAAAAAAAGTCTGGTTCCGATCCGACAAGGATCGGAAGAGATTCGACCATAATCAAGTTCAAAATGTTATTTATTTTAGGAACGATATATCCAAATGTGTTCTCTCTGCTTCAAAAGGATTCAAAACTTGGAGTACTACATCAGTTGAATCTAGGATACGAATATTATCTAAGTTTGCCCACTCGTTGGAATGCACTGGGTATGTGTTAGATTTATTAAACAAAAGTAAAAGTTTAATGTTTGCCATTTGTTTAATATTTTGCACATTTAAACTTGATTATATTTTTTGCAACAAATTACTATTTTCAATAATTTTGACTCTCTTGTTCTAGTCATGTAACATTGGCAAACATAATACAAAAATGGATCAAATTTCCATTCATCCATGAAAGTTCAATAATTCACACGAATAGTGAAACAGGAGCAAAAATAGAAGTGACAAAAATTTGTGAGGGAAAAGACATTATTATCATTAAAGAAGAAACCGAAACTGCATTGTTTGATCGATTAACACAAACCCTAATTGCTGGCAATTCTGTTATTGTAATATGTGACGCAAGTGTCTGTAATTTGGCACCGTATTGCGACATGTTGTCAGCGTCTAAGATGCCTCCAGGTGTTGTGAACTTGTTATCGCATAAAAACATACATCACTTGGAGCTTTACTTATGTGGAACAGACTACGCAACTTATAAAAAACGATTTTTCTCAGAAGATGCAAAACTAACGCGCACAAATCTTACTATGCTTAAACATATTCTACTTTATCTCTAAATATATCAAACTCACAACTGTGCAGGGTAATATATAAATGAACTCACAGTATGTTTACGATCAAAAATATTCTTTACACTTTTATTAGTAAATTATATTTACATGTTGCTAAAATGATAAAATATGTTATGTATCAGCGCAATTAAAATAATTTTTTTTTTTTTGTTACGTATTTTTATATAAAGCTATCTCATAAATTGTACTGTTTTTTTCATTAAGAGGACATTTTCATAAAGAAATAAAAATACCCTCCTAAAGTGTAAATTTTGTCAGCAATTTTTTATTGTATTGTAGCACAAATGGAATAATTGCATGAAATATCTGTATAAGACTTTAAAAAGTAAACTCTTTTTTTCAAAAATTATCTTAAGTAAATATATGTGTATATATATATATATATATTTCTCTCTCTTCTGTGGTCTTTGTACTAATAAAATCACTTTATATATGTGCGCGCGTAAAAGAATAATTATATATAATATGTATAAATTTGCTTTTGGCCGAGATGCAATCTGTCAAGTCTCTCTCAAGTAGATCGCGTTTTCCTCTGCTACTATTTGTGCGTCAAGTTTCGCAGAAGACTTTTAACCAATGTGTCGGTGAAGTATGGCTTTTACGGAAGTTCAAGTTACTATCCCGCAGAAGAGGGTAATGAGGAGACAGTAGCGCAGGAGAAAATAGACGATCTGAAAACATCTACAATTAAGGATAATAGAAGGAAGCCGAAGAAACGAGTCGTGTGTTGAGAAAAATATTGATCAGACGGAAGAATCTACGGAAGAGACTCAACAGATGCTCCAGCGTAAATGACAGTTACGTAAATAGAGAACAGGCGGCTGCGGCCAATGCAACAGAAAATGCAGACACGGCGTGAGTCCCGTGAAAAAAAAAAAAAAAAATCGGGACTTGATGGGAAGCGCGCCGAGGCCGAGAGTAACAGCGGCGCAAAGAAAGCCAGCGGCCTAATTCACATTCAATTCGTCATTGACAAACAGATCTAACGTACATATAAATTGTTTGTTTGTACTATGTGAATTGTATGTATACTAGCGTACGCATCACAATTAATTATGAGGAATGTATCAATTGGAAGATCGTCATCAAGACAATCATCTTTGTGACTGAATTATTTCTGTTCTCTCTCTCTCTTTCTCTAAGCGTAGAAAGAAATTCAATAATTAACTGGTAAAACACTAAATCTCTGATAAAAATAATTAACATCAAACATTTTGAATCACAATTTGCTGTAGACGCGTGAATTTGTTCAGATTGAAAATTTGATGACGAATTTTCTTTATCAAGTTTTACATACCCTGTGTGAAATAGTCGTATACCAAATTCATTGTTTGCCCATCAAAAAACGAAACCAGCTTTTTCATACTGTGTAATTGAAAATTATGTTGCTGTAATACACACAAGGTGTGTTTTGCTCTATCCAGGAAAAATCTCTGCGTGTGTGAAACGAATTCGATATCCGGTATGTAATTTATATACGAGATACTAGGACGATCTCTCACACACACACGATTGTATATAATTAAATTATACATTGAGACGTTCTCGTATGATATAATTATATACTGAGACGATCTCCTATATCTTATATAATTTATACATTACCAAATAAACAAAATTTATATTGTCCATGTACTAAAGAACTGTTCCCAGGTATGCGTTTTGTCTGAGCGAAGATTCACAACGCGCGCGTTATGCCTCAAATGTATAACGTTACGAACGAAGTTACAGAACGGATCCAGCAGCAGTTCTCTGATTCCATAACAATTCCGTGCATCTTGTTCGTTGATTTATAAAGAGGATTTTGCGGGTTGCGGATAGAATCCGAAATTATATCTAAGTTGTTCGAGGAATACAAATGTGAGGATGGTTTGTGGCGCTAACCGGATAAATGCAGGTACGTAGCCCTGAAACACAAATTTTCGTTAATCTCATGTACTTTCGATAATGTTTGTTAATGCAAAATTTTGTATTTTTAATCGTACTCACTTTGAAGAAAGCCAGCGGTCCAAGCTTGGCAGTATACAGGAAAATTTCTAATAGATTCTGTAGGGAAAATAAACATGAAAGAGAGAAAGAACACGCACACGTGTAAATCTCATCGAGTTTACTTCAAAAATTTTATACATATATCCTACCTTAAATTCTCCGGGCTTAGCGTTCATCGCTCGTGTTTTCAAGACATCTAGAGGTTGTGTGAGTGTTGTTGCGATAGCACCCTGTTAACGTAACAAACAGAAGAAGTTGGAGCAATCTTGGAACATAAATCTTACCGCTCTTTCAAAATATTATTCAGATCACTCACAGCTGACACACTAGATAAAATGTGTGTCGAAGGACTATCCCGAAAATAGCCCGTCTGCAACAGCGTCGTTTTAATTTGATCGTAAAAACTCAACTGGCCAATGGTCATCAGTACCGCTCGCATGGTTGCGGTGGAACATCCGCTGAACAAGCGACGTACTCCTTCCTCTTTACCTACACGCAGGAGCCCGTCCAAAGCATTTTTGTAGCTGTGCGCAACAACAAAGAACGACGCGCGATCAAGACGTGTACATTTTCAAGAGAGGTGTATAAGAAGAATATGTAAAAAGTCCTACTTTCTTCTCAGCTCTGGTGGTAATTTGATGTCATTCTGCATGCGTACATTGATCACATCACCGGGGGTTCCGAAAACTCCGCCAGTAGCACCGGACACTCCAGCTAGCAGTAACTTCTGATAAAATGGTAACGGACGATCGGGCGTTTCAAACGTTTGTTTGCCAACCTATTATATTCAACACAATATACGACCTGTGTCATAATAAAGTGAAGAAGAAATGATGTTTGTATACACATGTATCACACGCGTAAAACGTTACTATACGATCTCGTGTGTATAACAACCTCGTACGCTCCGAATCTTATTGTCGAATATGTAAGCTGACGAAGCAGAGAAGCACTGAGTCCGTTGTACAAAGCAAGTATTCCCTGTTTCTTAATTATTCCAACGGTCGAACGTACTATTGACAATTTGCCTTCCTGTTGAGTTTGCAGATGAACCTGCACGAGAGATGTTTGATCATGTAGGTTTTAATACACACGGTTTTATATACAAAATGTAAACGTGTGTAAGTGTAACTGTTTCAGGGGCGAATTTTGGCGTTGGAAAAATAATGAAAAATTTAATAAGTTTAATAATGAAAAATGTTTACATAAATATTTGTCCCAACTATCTTTGTTTCTAAAGTAGAGGCAGAGTTTTAGTATCTTAATTGTTTTCATTGCTATAAAATGTTTGTGAACATTTGAGAGAATTATTAAACTACAAAAAACTGGTATGTAAACTTGAAGACAAGGAATGAGACAAATATTTATATATATATATATATAAATTTTGTCCATTTTGTTCTCTTGGGTGTTCATGTTTGGACAGTCTGTGTGTGTAATGGAGTCTGTTTAAGGAGAATTTGGTTGAGAGAAAACCTTCAACAGATCTAAGGGATGAGTCACGCATGCAGCAGCTGCAGAAGAAACACCTCCAAAGTACCAACGTGATAATTTCTTACTTTTGTCAGTCATTGTTAATTTTTTTCCGCCTTGTTATCAAGCAGTAAATAGGAACATATCTATGGCACTGCGGACAAGATTAATTAATGTGTAAATTTATTCAAAAAATGTATATGATTTATGTGTCTCACCTTTTTTTGCACATACAGGTCAAGGACACATAAGACTGATGTGTTCGTTCATTATACACGTAGAGCGTGCAGAGAAATTCCCACTTTGGCACGGAAAATTGTTATAAAAAAACACGTCTGAAAAATTATAACAAATTAATGATGCAAAGCGAGCAAAAATTTCTTTCAAAGAATTTGCTTTTACACATTTTTTTCCAATTTCTTTCTCAATCTATCGTAAAACAAGTAAGTAACATTTTTTTACGTTTTGCGCAAAAATATTGCTGTTGTTAGAATTTGCGAATTTTTCATAATTTGTTTCGTGTTAGAGCGGAAGTGCCGACTAAGCAAATACGCGTACGAGTGGTGCTAAAATTAAATTCAATATAACGACCTTGCGATAACGGCAAAGCTATAAATTGTCGAAACGGCGACTTAAGCTCGAGAACACCAGGTGTTTTTTTTTTTTTTTTCAAGAAAGCGACCGAAATGACAGCAAACGAGGTCAGCCCGTTTTTCTTGATTTTTACGAGAGACATAAACACCTGTAATTTGTTTAATTTCGGAGAATTTAATTAAACTGTTCGATTATTAGACTCAAAGTGTCTAATAAGCGTTTAATTATTCACAATCGACGTGAATCGTCACACGCTTGTGCCAAAACTCTCTAGTTGTACCAATTCACTCATTTTCTTGTTCGAAATCTCGTATATAATAAATTTCGCGGTCTTTCAATCTTTCAGACGAGTTTAATGACTTCTGACCGTGTCATCGTTGTGCGGGTCTGTGACGATCGGAAACTAAAGTACGTGATCGGGACTCGGAGTGAAAGGCGGAGTGCGGCGGCGGTGTTCCGATCTGGACAACAGCTGAACTCGGACTGCCCACTGATCATACTGACGTCGATGCGAAACGTTCCGCAGGAGTTGAAGCTGTGTGAGGCGACGTGCGCACGACACGTATCAGCTGATAGCTACGTGTAAGATTACTTTTGATATGTAATACGAGTCTGCTGGTGTGTATGTGTGTGCGTGCGTGGGAAAAGTACAAAATAATACTCTTTTTTTTTTTAATAAGAACAGATTATCTATAGTGCATGTAGACCAAGCGGAATTGGAAATCATGTCCGCGTGGGATTGCGTCATTCTTTTATCGTCGGCGTTCCTGCTTATCGACAAATGTGCTGATTGTAACGGTACACATCTCTCGTGTTACCGCTTTACATAAGCAATTTGATTTAAACTACAACACGTGCAGCGCGTAACTCTCCGCGAGTTGCGCGGTCGTTTTTTTTTTTTACAATTGCGATGTTTACGCAACTCGAAGCAATTTACATCGAATTTCTGAATTTCAACATCTTGCGGTTTTAAGACACGTGTGGTTTTTATTTAATGTTTAATGTTTTTTAAATAAAAACAAAATCATGACAAGTGTAATGTTTCCAGTTGCGGCTATTTTTTGTTTTACAAGTTTGCGTAAACGGTCTCCCGGTAAAAAAATTTTCCACGTGTATAATTGTACGGACATATTGTACGGCATTATAAATTTGCATAATTAGATAGAAATTATTTTAATTTGTGTATAAGTATACATGAGAAACATTTTTTATACCGGGAGCTTTCACCTGTTGTTTCAGAATAAATTTCGAACAACAATATTGAATTAAAAAATTCATTCACGTCGTGAATTTTATATTGACGGTTGAACAATGATAAGATGATAAAACAATATTCTATCGACGATCTGAAGAGGCGAATTCGAGAAAACACGCGAGTGTGCGCGCAAGTACGCGGTTTTTGAAATAAAGTCTCTTTGTTCGTACTGTCGCAAATTGATCGATAATATCGATTCTTGGAATCGTTTCAATTCGAATTTTCGCACCAACCGCGCCAACTTCTCGTCGTACACTTGGCGCAACGCGCGCTTGCAGGTTATGTAAAACGCAACAAGGTTTATGACCCGGCTATCTTCTCCCGTCACGTCGCAGCAACCGCATTACATAAACGTACGTTACTTGTTGTGAAAAAATTACGTCGTGATGTAATAACGCGTTTTTATGTTCTCTTTTTTTTTAGAGTCCATTATGGCTAGCTCGATCGAAATGGTGTGCAACTATCTCGGCATCGACAAGATCGACATGTGCGGTAAGATGATTCTGATCGAGGAGCAACACGGGACGAACGCGAACTTCTTGGTGAACGCCGTTCTGTCGAACGCGCTGAAGAGAAAAAACGCCGTTTGTCTCGTGCTTTGTCACAACACCTTGGGTCATTATCACAACGTCGGCATGAGACTCGGTTACAACCTGTTGACTCTGAGAGAGAAGGGTCAGGTTGCCATTGTCGAGCCTATGAAAACTGTGGCCAGCTGTCTAGTCGCTGACACGTGCAACGACCCCGCGGACGGGGAAAGGAACATACTTCCCGACGCCAATTCCGAGAGACACGTTGACACAGTTTACAGACTGTTCACACACGTCAGAGAGAAGTACGAGGAAGCGGCCAGGTTCAGTGAATCCGTTGTTCTTATTATCGACGATATAAATCACCTTCTCGATCTCGGCTTTGGTGTGCTGGACGTTATGTATTTCATGAGGTATCTGCGATCGTTCATGGCGTCGCGTTCGTTGTCGCAGCTTTGCGTTCTCGCACACGTCTATCGCTGGGATCCGGAGACCTCGAACGCGGACATGATCGCCAACGCTCTGAAGCACATGGCACATCTGTGCCTCACCGCCGAACCGTTCGAAACAGGTCATTCCGGCGACACGTCCGGCGGCAAGTTGATGATTCACTGGAAGGTAGACTCGATCAGATTGAAGTATCACTTGGCTGAGATGACGGTGTACTTGTTCAAGTTGTTGGACTGGCAGATTAGGATCACTACACCCGGCGGAGTGGCTCCCTTCTCGTAGCAAAAACTTGTTCATTTCTGTGCTTTTGTATATTGTGTATTTTTGTAAGGAACTATTGTAAAAATTTAATAATAGTTGGAAGAAACAAATGGAAACGTTTAAATTTACGTACATCAGTTTTTTGGCGTGTTTTTTTTTATCCTACGTTTGTTTTCTCATGTTTGTTCAGACAAGAGCCAGATGTACATCTTTGACAAGCAAGAATGATATTAGGATTGCACTTCACATTGTGTTCATAATGGCGTAAAAACGTGTTATGTATAGTGAAACTAGGAGTGTTTTTTTTTCTGTCTTTCACTTGTCTCTCACCGTTTTTTTTAGACTCTTGTTAGAATGAGACAGGCACGTGTTCAGATTTTGAGCGAAGCGCGACTCGTCGTCGAGGGTCGGTGTTTCGTCACGTAAATGGGCGCGAAGCAAAGCAGCATCTACGAAAAACCCGGGACTATGAATTACTACCAATTTAGTGCGAAGGAATACGCGTTGGTTAAGAACGTGTGGTCGGAAATCGAAGTTAATCCTCTTCTTCACGGCAACGCCTATTTGAAGAGGTACGTGATATCGCGTGGCGAAATACTCGCCACGCGTTTTAATCGCGCGCGTAAAGCTCTCTTTCTCGACGAACGACTTGCAGCCGGGAGAAATTTGCTCTAAAACGCGCAACGTGACGATGGGTTTTCAGTTTTTGTGCCACCTATCCGCAATACGTGAAGTTCTTCACGCTGGAACTCAGATTGAATCCCATGAACATCGGCGCGGTAACCATGTTGAAGTTCTCGGTGATTATGGAGACCATCGGTTATCTCTTTCTGGATTTTAACAAGAAGCCGAAGAAGCTGGACCGACTCGTCGCTTACATAGCTATGGTGCACAAGGACATGCAGTTAGACGAGGAAGACTTGAACGTATGTAGGTTTTTTTTGTTTTTATTGCTTTTTTTTACGAATATTTTACAAGTATAGAATATATATATGTTACTGAGTTCTCTCATCAAAAGTTTGTTTTCTTTCATCATCTCATTCAATCTCTGTCATCCAGAACTTCATGTCGGCATTGATCGAGTATTTGTTGCGAACGTGTCCCATGCACATGACGACGCAGTGTCAGGAAGCTATGTCCAAGTTCACGAATTCTGTTGTGCACGAGCTTATCGCGAAGATGAGACTCTTCCGTGATTATGACGTCACACTGTCGAACGAAGTGATACGATCGGTAAATTGATTGATATTTAATTCGAATTGGACGAAACTCCGTGTTCATACGTATATAAAATAAATCTTGTCTCAAGACAAGAACAGAAACAAAAACAAAATAGGAAAGCTTAATTAGTTTCGTTGTGTATTTTGTTATAAAGTTAATTTAATCATAATCGAATTCTTCCGATAGCGCAGCCGTGGGGACTGTGTCCGTTCTTCGTCGAGCCACTGATATTCGGCAAGACGAGATTGTACTGGGACCAGAAGAAGAACCAGTGGGACGCGCGACTCGACGAGTGGGGAAAAATGATATCTCTGGATGTGTCGACACCCGCGGAGGCAACGAAGATGAGATCGGACGACTTTGACGACGAAAGGGATTTCTTCAAGGTATCAACATAAATTCTCGAACGACGTTCGTTCTAAAATATTTTAGTAATCGAATTGCTTGAAATCGATACACAAACAACTTTTTCAAATTTCCAGTCGGAACGGAGAGAAGCAAAAGGCAACGACGATGATGACGTTGACGATGATTCGATAATTCGGAAGCGTGTCACTTCGGATGCTCGTCGTCTGTCCTCGCAACGACGTCTTCGGATGTCTTCTTTAGCTTACCCGCCGAAAAAACTGCTGGAAGCCGTGAGAGATCCGCGCGAACGATATCGTCTCAGGAGTGTGTTTTACCTGCAGAATTTGAACGAAACCGATCGCGAAGATAACGACGCGGAACAGCCCGATCGCGAAAACAATGTTATTATCTCGCACCTCACCGCTCGCGAAAGACGTCGCAGAAAGTTTCAGCGTCAATCTGAAATGAAGAAATAAAAGACGATGAGTGACACATTTGAGGAGATTGAAGATCGCCGCAGGTAATAAATCTTTGATTCAATGTTTATAAAGCTCGTTGAAACAAAGCGCAATTCTCCTATTACTCGGTGACGAGATGCCAACAGCGAGATAACCAAAGACGTATGATTTTCGGAGATGATTGCTGTACGTGTTATCTCCCCTCGGATGATCCGTTAAGCGCGTCTCGCTCTATCACGTTTGTTAGATAATAGCCGAGGTGGTAATGATATCGGCAAGTAAAATTATCGCCGTTTGATACACGCGTGAATGATAGTCGAGCAACTGTTCAGCTTTGCTCTATTATTCACGCTGTGCGCGAGCAAGAGGGCACTCTCGGAAATGAAAAGTTTTACTAAAGCTTTTTATCGTGAAACCTGATGAAAGCGATTTGCAACTTCTCTGTTCACGATAAACGCGATAACCCAATTGCTTCAAACGACAATCCGATCGCGCTTGGATGCGCGCATTAATATTTACAGGTTTTGAAGAAAAAAAAGTAAAATTCTTCGATAAATGCGATTTTTCCGGAATCAAAGTGTCGCCTCACCTCAGCTGCCCGTTCCACGATCATCGATTCTCGATCTGAGCGGGTTGTAATGGCCGCCGCTGTTGTGCGCAAATCGCAACGAGTCAATGCTGTCGTCGCTCGCTATTCGGCGTAGCTTCTTGTCGCTGATTCAAGAACAAAGAAAGTAGAAATTTCAGAAATTAATTAGGTCGAAAAACAAAGCGGAAAGTGATAGTCTTACTAGTTCCGCGAATTCGCTGCCGAGATCGGTGGGAACAAGGCGGCCGGTGAGATCAGCGGTTGCACCACCGGCCCCATCACGTGATCCGCTTCTTCCTGCGGTTCCTGGATCGGCGGTAGCGGCGAGTCCCAGTCCGAATCCGTAGAACTGTATTTTTTTTTCGAACAAAAAAAACACCGGTTTTACTCTTCCGAACGAGAGGCGAGAATTTTTTACGGTTACGATAATTTCGCGAGTTACGGGGAAATCCGCGCGAAACGAGAAAATGATTGGCCACGTGAGAAATCGATAACGCGCGATCGCGACGAGTGATAAACGGAAGCAACGGGCTCGGGTGATTTGCTTGACCCACAAACCGACAGGTGTTCTTGGAATTCTATCTGTGAAAGCGTCCGGCTTGCTAGCGTATCGTTTTGCAATTATTTTAATCGATCTCACGTCGTCGTCAATCCCATCCCCGTGTGCGAACAATAAATTATATATTCACGTGTCTTTTTGATAATAAAAGCAAAGTAGGCTTTCACGCCCCAAGTGTTTAGATTTTCGCTGAACGGATGAATTAATCCACTATTGATTCTTTCAAGTTAGAAAAGCTCGTCCGATCCTACCAGTTCCAATGCCGATAAATAGAGGAAGATCGATTGCACTGACTGACCTGCTGGCCAGTCTCAAGTCGGTGTTGTCGTAACTGCTGAATCTGCTGGAGATGGGCGGTAGTTTACCGCGGCTGAAAGACACGATCGGGGACGCGGCGACATCGCCGAGGCTGCTGTCGATGTACGTCGCAGCCTGGATCTCCTGCTGATACATCGCGTAGAGATTCTGCAGATCGGGCGGAAGCATCATCCGACCATCTGCGCGTTTTCATTTATTGGCTCTCGTGAATCGAACGAATAATTTGGATTTATTTGGATGTAGTTGAGAACACGCCTTATTATATACTGACCTTCCATTATTCGCCGTTGCCTGGTGATGATCTCGTCGGAGATCTGCCGCTGGCGATCGTAGCGGAGCAGCAACAGCTCGCGACGTCTTAGCTCGTGCTGCTTCACCAGTCTCTCGCTCTGCAGCATCATCTTGTCCGCCTCGAGCTCGTGAACCCGCAGCATCAGCGCCAGCAGCTCGCGCTCCTCGTCCAAGTTGATGCGCGACGGTAGCTCCTGAAAACTCACACACGGTATTCTTCAACTTATTCTCCGGCGAAATGATTGAGAATTCATTTTGTTGACTGTCAACTGTAGTTCCATCGTATTTGTTCTACTACACGACAGTATTCTTCTTTTTTTCTTTTCTGTAAACATTTAGTTTTTGACTCGCTATTTCGATTTTTAAAGGCTCACATCCTCGAGCGCGGCGCTGTGTTTTCGACAGATCTCGAGCTCCTTCTCCGCGGCGGCGCGCATCTCCGCGTACCTCTCCTGTTCCTTCGTGATCTCCGTCAGCTCCGACCACGCTTGCTGCACAGTCACGTCGTCCTCCAGGTCATCCTCTATAAGATCATCTACAAGTGGACAATAGGATGTTCCCAACTTTATTGCGTGAATTGGTGTTTGGTGAATTTTTGCAAATTCTTCCCGTATGATCTTGTGAGAGATTTGTGTGATAACTCTCCGCTCACCTACGTCGTCCGCTTCGTCAACTTGGTAATTCGTGCCAGGACGATGTGTATTAGAATCCTGGGTCTTTCCGTAAACTCGGTTATTTCTCGATTCCCAGTGCGAGATTATGGAATGCTGCTGTTCGGCGGCGATGTTCAGACCCAAGAGATGACTATCCAGTTCCATCAGCTTCCTCCTGTTGTGACAGTCGAGACAAGCAGTTCATAAAGTCAGAAACTGATTTATCAGACGATCGATTCCTAAATCCTAAGAGTTTTTGTTACTCGCACTTGTGCTCACGCACCTCAGACGCATCTGTTCTTTGAAGGCGAACACGATCTTCTCCCTCAACGATCTGAAGTCACTGCCGCGCGTGTTGTCCGACGTTTCTTTTGCCGTCGACTCCGTCTTATTCGACATATCCTCCTTCATTTTGTTCCGCAGACGCGAGATCTCGCTCTTCAGGTCGCTGATTATGTCGCGGTATTGCGCGACGTGCAGATAACTGACATCGAGCACGTTTTGCTCGACCTTGGTGGAGATCTTGTTGGCACGATCGGCGTAGATCAGAGTGTTTCTGCTCTCGTCGCGATGCGCGCTTGCCGGCGACACGTGGGCGATCATGACGGTCCGGCAGTTGCCGCCCAGGGCGTCCTTCAGCAACCGAGTGAGTTTGGAGTCGCGATAGTTCACGTATCGCGCACCCCCGGACAGCGCGTTGATGCAGTTGCCCAGCGCCAGAAGCGATCTGTTGATGTGCGCGCCTTCCTGCAATCTCTTCCCCTTGTTCTGCAGCAAAGAGATCGAATTGATTATCGCGTTCTAGTAAGTGACTTTGTGTAAACAGTTTGTTAATTACGCGATCGATCTTACCTTGGTCTGCTTGGCCCGCTCGGACCCGGCTAGATCGATCATAAACAGTCTTCCCTGTTTCACCTTGTTGCGCAATTGTTTGTCACCATCCGGACGAAAGGACTGTCTGACCGTGACGCTGAGGAGAGCGTGACTCCGCGACGAGGTCTGATTTGCGGCGGTCGGTTCTATCGTTCTCGCTTTGTTACCTCTGTGCAACAGCTGCATCACCTGTGTGATTTTTTTACATTGATCGTTCCGGGTGTGCGAAATATCGTCCAATTCTTTTTTGTTTACAACACAAGATAACACTAAATTTTTAAAGCTAAGTAAGAAAAATAATGTAAATATTTTTACAGTGTAAATTAATACGCATATTAATTTAAAAACAAAATTTTTTTTATTCGAAATTTTTAAAATTCGCAACGAGTTTTTTTCTCCAGATAATTCAGGCAGTAAAGAAATCCTCTCTGTACGAAGATGCGAATCGAGCGTCCAGTATGGATCGTTGAATTACAAATTGATTAATTAATCCGCACGTGCGTTTAATTTAAATTTTTCAAATATTTTGCATTTACGTTCTCCAGCGCTTGGCCGTGCATCGTGTTTCTCAGTTGGAAACTTTATCAGAATCTTATTTCGATTATTTTCAAGATAAACAGCCGTCGTACTTCGTCGGTCGAGTTGGTGGAGATCTCCGTCAGTCCCGAAACCTGAACGTTGCGACCGCGAGTGTCGTCGCGCAAGTCCAGATATCCCGAGCTCGGATTGAGCAGATCGCGAATGTTCTCGTTGTAAATCTCCAGGTACGACATCGTTACCTGCGATAAAATAAAACAATGTGATTGCACATAAGGATCGAGCAAGCTGAAATCGATTCGCCTCGCAAGGAAAATGATACAAACGCGATCGAAACCCGACGATTTTTTTTTTTTTTTTTTTTTAATGACATTCTAGAAATTGCCATTGCGTCCCACGCGTTGCGTGATACCTCGCGGTATTGTGTTATTTTGCGAAATTATCGCGATATTTGAATATTTAATGCAAATTGTGCGCATGACGATGCACACATCGGTGAACAATTTTGCTCTCTCGTCGTAGTTTCCGCTCACGCGAGACACGCGGCTGCGTTTTAAATGCGCGATTGTTATATACACGCGCGCGGTTATATCTCCGCGTGTGATTATTGCGCAATAAACGACGGGCGATATCGCGAATCTCGTTCGTCGGTGAAAATTCATGCAACTTTCTCGTGGGCGTGAAAATATAATAAACGGTTTTTCCGCTGCGGGTGCAAGTCGCTAATCTACTCGCGAAAGCGTCGTGTGCAAATATCACAGCGAAATATTTAACAGAGCGATAACAGAGCGCGCCGAAGAAGAGAAAAATGATTCATCATCGGATCGTTACTTTATATTTAACGACTGCGTTTATGTTACAATTGAACACTTTGAGAAAGGAACAACTTTTTTCTAATATTCGTATTTTACAGCTCACCGAAACGTTCGCGTCTTTCGGCAGTTGCTTGGTCGCCAGAAATATATCGTTCAGGGCGCGCACCATGATCCCGGGCTCCGACGACGTTCCCACCATTGTGTGGGTTTTTCCGGAACCTGTCGCGCCGTACGCGAACACGGTGACGTTGTAGCCGTTTAGCACGTCCTGCGCCAGCTTCTTCGTCGTGCCCTCGTAAACTTGCTCCTGAAGCAGCAATAACATTTGTTTCATTTGCCAAATTTATTTTTTAAACACTCTTCGACGACGTTAGATTCGAATAAACATTTTCGAATCGTTTCTCGAGAAGTAATTCGCGAATTACTCACCTGCGTGGAGTCCTCTCCGAAAACCACGTCGTACAAATATTGGCGGGACGCCGTGCGTTTCTGCTTATCGCCGTCCGGGTCTTCCAGCACCACCATCTGCAAATCCGAAATATTTGTTTTCGAAAAGTTACCGAATCTTCGCAGCGCGATCGATAGATCATTTATGTTGTACAAACTATGAGAATTTGTAAGAACTAATTATTTCTAATAAATTGCAAGTCCACCTTATCGTTGACGGCGTGCAGGGCTCTGGTGCCGCTCTCGTTAGGAGCCAAGGGTCGAATGCGAACGGCGACCTGCGATCAAAGAACAACAGCGATTGTTATCTCGAGGACTTTTTGTCCGTTCTTTTTTTTTTTTTTTTTCTGCTAATTATGTTATCGATCAGTGAGGGACTTGGCTCGCGATATCAATTTGTACTTTCGTACGGACGTTCTTATTTCACGAATATTACTGTGGGAAATTATATTCTGTCCTCTCAAATGGAACTGTTTGATATTTGTTGGATCTTTTGACGGCGTGAGCGATTGGCAACGAGTGAAATTGACGAGAGACTCGTCGTATTGCACGTCGCATATGTACCATGAGCTTCTCCTCGAGCGATCCTCGACCTCTGGGATCCTTGAAGTTGCTCCGACCGCCGCTGCTGCTGCTGCTGCTGCTACTGCTGCTGTATTGTGTCATGTTTGCGATGCGCACGTCTCATGTGAAGAGCAGCGACGACGTGCGCAATTGATGAAATCAATTGATCTCTGTGTCAACGAGAGAGACGCTTGACTTTAACGCGATTAAATAAAACAAGTTTCACACGTGCACCTGCTGCCTCGTTACCGGATCTCGACGACCTTCCCTATTGACGCGACTGTCGACGCCGTCGATCGTCGCGCGAACGCTTCCGCAAACTGTCATTTCGGTCGCGAAAAAAAAAAAAAAAAACACTCGTCGGTTTTAATTCTTGCGATCACCCGATTTGATTTCAGTAGCGAGAAAAAACGGAATTACAAAAGGAAGCTCGAACTGATGTGTTAAAGAATTGGAGAAGCGCGACGCGGAGGAAAAACTTATTTAAAAAAAAATGTTGACGAGGATATATTGTCTCGCGACAACAATTGGAAATCGTCGCGCACGGAGAGACTCGCGGAAAATTGTTTATTAAATAATAAAGCAATCGTAGATGTGCGTCGCGCATTGGCGCGCGTTGGCGCGGGTCGAATGTACAATGTTATCGCGACAGGGTCGGGCGACCGACTGAAGCCCACCTGTCTCACCTGCACATGTGTAGGCATCTGGGGAGCTCGCTCCCGTTAGATATATTTTTGCGGCATTTATTTTCGAGGGGATCTGTATTAACAATGACGCGATTGCAAAATGCATAAACTGTGTTGCCATTTTGATGCCGTTACACGTCACGGAGAACCGTTCGGTTAAATAAAGATGATTCGCGCGCGCGCGCGCGCTTCTCTCAATTCAAACAACATCAGACACCTCCAAGTGCCAGCTGGTGATAATTGCTGAACTAATATGTTTGTTGCATATTAATTGCTGACCTACTGGTAAACAAATCGATCAGCGATATATCGAGAGTAAACATCGCAAGAAGAGACCTGCTGTTTTAAATCCGTTTCGCGTAGCATTTTCGAAAACGAAATCGCATTGTTTGAAATTTTATACTCGAGGTGACACAATTCGCGAGCACGTTTTTTCCCCCGAAAAAAACGCGCAATAATTTTGTCAGGCTCTGCGAACGAACGAAAGTTAAACCCCGGGGAAATTAACTTCGTAGTTTTATTTATCTTGCAATGCGATTGTGAGGTAAAACAAAGGGGTAGTTTTCGCATCCGAGGAAAAACCTCGGGAATTATTTACACGAAGTAGACGAGGGGGAGAGGGAAGAAGCGCGCGCGTGTGTCGCGGGCTCGTCTGACATCACACGCGGAAATTCCACGCACAATATATATGTGTGCGTTATATTCATCGAACAACAGAACTTGCAGCTTTAACTAGACCAAGTAAGCGAGGCGCGAGCTCTCCCGTTTCGTTCAACAAGTTGCACTTCCTTGATTTAATAATAATTAGAATGTCAAGGATGAGCGAGCAATCGGTGAGCACAAAAAGTGTTGCATTTTGTCGGCAATTTCGTGTGATTGCGATCACACGATTCGAGATGCCGTAGTAGCGCCTCGCGTTGTGTTCAAACTCGACACTGACTTCTCGTCGCAATCTCTCGATTCTTTCCGCGCGCTTAATTGTTGTACATCATCGATATCAATTGCATGTTCTGATAAATAAAACATAGACGGTGTCTTAAACCCACTTTAGATCCGGATTCTCGGATAAAGAGACGTTTCGTAGAATTCAGAACTCGTTTTCGGAATCCTACTCGTAATTTCGCGCGCGCTCACACACGCACACATTTGACAAAGCTCTACTTTATTTTTACAAAAGCTCACCCAGAACATCTCAAAAAATTCTTGAAAAACTTTTTTCAATGTTAAAAGAGCTGCGACTTATACATTTGGTTACTTCTACAAATTTGTTTTACAAATAATTTAATAATTTTTCTCTCTCCTCAACTTTTTTGCGATCGCTCATTTAAAAATCCCGTAATTACAAAACAGAACGAATCCGGCAAGTTCACCGACGTATGTTTCTGATTCTCGAAATAGTTTTTCACGCGTGACAAATGCGGCGAAAAATGTAAAACGGAATTCTCTCTCAAGTACGCGTGCAATCGTTCCTAATTCCCGAAGTTCACAGTTGTGCGAACACCTGTGTCCTTCGCAGAGGTCATTCGCATCCCTAAGCTCATCACCTGGGGGGGGGAATTGAAGAGACGACGGCCCAAGTTCGTTCAAACAAACGATTATCCGTTCCACTATCATTTTCCATCGGCGAAAGTAATCAATGCCGGACACACGGTTAAGTATCGAGGTCAGCACGCTACCGGCCGGTCAGATATTGCCGATCGATATTTAGGAACGAAGAAACACATTTAAACGAGTATTATGCGGTGGTGGAAAAAAGAGGAGGATTACTCGCTTTACCTTCGACCTCCGCAAATACGTCTCTCTGGATTATTGATAGCGCGAAATCTCCGTTGGAAATAGATGGAAATAACAAATGAGCATGCCAATCGGCTCGCCGATTTTACAAGGTCTCGCTGTTCGATAATGTAACGGGCGCTTATTATATTACCCCGACGTGTATACAAGCGCGCTATCACCCTCGGCGACGTAACGCGCGTTAAATTCGTCGCGACTCGGTAAACACTCCGCGTTAAAATTAAATTACGAGATTATTGCGACGAAATGTTCAACGAGAAAATTGCAATACTTGTTTGCGCCGCTAATTTAAAAAGCACACGAGCGATAAAAATTGCTCCCAAGCCGGCGGCTAATCGCTCTCGAGGGAGAAAATTCAATTTTGTTGTGAACAAAATTGCGCGAGCGGTGGCTGTTCTCAAAGTGACCTTCAGACCTCGGACTTGTGTACTACGTCATCGAATTCTCGAATACATATTCATTTGTGCCGTAAAGTCTTGCGCGCGCGCGCGAGTCGATCGTATCGCTCTTTAAAAGATTGATCGTATCTTCTCGCTCGACACGCACGCAGGAAGAGATGGACAAGGTTTCGCGTATAAAAAGAAAGGAGGCCAAGTCATCGTAAAGATTTTGGTGATTCATTGTTTCCAGTAAAAATTGTACAACGCGATATCAAAGGAGAGAATCATGCGCGACATGCGAATTGCATTTTGTATCGCGCGACTCCCATCATTGATCTCGAACTTATTTCGTAACAAGAGTATACAATAAATTACGATGTGTATCGATGGAAGAAAGGTAGCGCATAAATATCGAACGGATGCGGATGACGTTGCGTGGAAAATTAACATTTGTTAGACGCTTCGCTGTAAGTTTGTTTTTTGTACGATTGTTTTGGTGGCACGAATGAAAATATGCGAATCTTGCCGACTAATGCGACAATTGCGTGACAAAATTTGTTTATTTGTCTGAAGATGGTTTTCGGATGGTTTTTTGAATCGCGTCGGTGTCACAGTTTATTACACCAAAATTGACACGAACCAATCTTCGGATATCAATGCAACACGCCGCGGAAGCATCAAATTTTTTATTTGTCGAAAGAAAGAGCCCGGTGTGCGTACACCACTCTCGAGCAATTCCAATATCGTACACTCGTGGTCGAGTTGAGAAATAATACTTTTCATTTATGCTGCTGATTATACTTTCCGTCTTCTCCAAGCGCTCGTTGTATCGCGAATGGCGCATTTCGTCAAACTGATTTGGATTTAGATCCATATGAAGGACCAGTAGAGAACGTTGAAGATGATGAAACACACGGGAAACACTATCCTGCTGCGTTTGTCGATCCACAGCGCGATCTCTTTCGGTGTCATCGTCGTGAAATTGTGCAGCTTGGCAAGAGTTGGCCTGCGTGAGATTGACTTTGGCGGAGGGTTGCTGTCGATGCTGGTCACGCTACCGATCGGATCCTTATCTTCCTCTATTCTCACCGACGGGATGTTGATTGTGCTGGGAAAACTCTGAAAAAAGCAGAAATTGTTTTTCTCCATGTCGTGACGATCCTGACAGCAAAATCTAATAAGACGAAAAGGTTAGGCAATTTGCGTAAAATTGGCAGCAGTTTGCCGCCATAATGTTGGGAAAATTATTGAGTGAGATTATTGAGGTGTGAAACAAATTTTTATTGAAAATCACACTTTTTCCTTGCTACGAGAATAGCAAAGATGATAGTTTTGCCGACGACACTTACATGCAGAGTGAGATAATTCTGACTTGAGAAGTCCTGCTCGCTGTTGGTGTTCGCGTTGTCCAGCGACGACCACGATCGCGATCGTTCCATTCCGGTTGTATTTTTCTGAAACTGCTTCCTCGCCAGTCGCGGCGTCAACGTCGACTTGAGAATGTACTTGCTGTTGACTTTTTTCAGCGGTACGTTCTTTCTGTACAAATACGACATATTGTTATCATTCAAATAATTTTTCGAACGTCGTCGCTGGGAAACAAATCTGTTTGATGCGCGACGGGAATCAAAGATTTTGGCGTAAGAAAGAATCACACGTACGTTCGTCTGTAGATAATATTCACGAAGGCGAACTCGACCATCGCCGAGAACAAGAATATCGTGCAGCCCAAGAACCAAATCTCGCTCGCTTTTATGTAAGAGACCTTCGGCAGGGAATTTTCCACTTTCGACGCGAGCGTCATAAACGCCAGGATGGTGTTTGTTCCTGAAAATATTCAAACCACATCGCACAAATATTCTCATTCGACACGCTACGTTGACGGACGTCAGATGATCTTTTTTACCCAACATTATCCGCGGCGCGCTCGCGTCCTGATGCAGCCAGAAGGACACCCAGGAAACGACCACAATTAATATGGACGGCACGTAATAGTCCATCATAAAGAATCCCATTTCGCGGGCCAATTTGAACGTGATGTTTATCGAGCTGAAGTTGCCGGCTGCAAGAAGAAGCGACGAGACCTTAATTTTCGATACGCTCTCATGTTTGCCGCTATTGCAAATCGGAGACGTCGGAAATTTGTGCGCATTTTCGTTCCAAAAACGCGATTGTTGATCGCGTGCGATCTTCGCGATCTCCGACGTCTCCGTGAAGACTGCGGGAGATCAGATTCGAATCAATCGAGTTTTTTTTACCGAAATGTCCGTAATGATACGGGGACGAGGTGTAGGACACTCCGGAACGATTCACCCACGTGTCCACGAGCTTGTACTCCGTCAGATACAAATTGCTCGCAATTACGATCGGATCGTCGTCCCATTCCAGCACCATATCGTTCACGTTGTGAATCCCTACGAGTAAAACAGAAAAACGAATCTGATTGTTTTGTTTCACAGAACAGCACACGAGTGTAAACGGTGCTATTCTTTTTTTTTTTTTTTTCTATCTCGAAAAGCTGGACTTCTTTTTAATCCGATCAATGTATCGAGGAAGCACAAAACGTACAGCTCTCGAACACCAGCGGACACTCTTGGACGTCGAACGGAAACTTTTCCAATCGGAGTCCGCAGTTCATGGTGGCTTCCAATCTGAAAATCCGTAATACGAAAAATTCCGTAACTTTCACCGAGAAAGAACGATCGCGCTCTCCTCGAAAAATATCTTCACCTCGTGTTCAGAATGACCATTCCGTACGGGCTGATGGAGATGAGCAGATCCTTGACGGTGTTTCCCATAACGGCCGACTTGCGGTCGTTCGCGACGTACACGGTGGGCGTCCAGATCAGCTCGTGCGCGTTCTGACCGCCGTATATCTGATTCATGTAAGGAGCTATGTCGGCGAATTTCAATCTCTTGTCCAGATACCGGAACTGCATCATCAGGTGCACGTCGAATTGCTGCAACGAGAGTTCGTTCGTTCCACCGTTTATTATCGACCCATCGGCGAACACGTACGCTACACGCGCGTTACCTGGATGGACGTTTTATACGGATTATAAGTAAAATTGTGGAGGTACCAGAGTTTTGGCCATGTTGGACTTTATCGTGTAGATAAAGGCTCTGGTGTAAATTTTAATCGGGTCCGTCTCGTTCACCACGCCAGGCGGTCGGACCATCTTGTCGTAACGACACTCGTTCGCCAGTTCCTGCAGGAGTTCCGTCTGCGTCATGGCGTCGCTGAACGACGGGCAGTTCCCCGGTCTGCAATAAGCACGGAGAGCTATTTTCGCAAATGTATTTTTTCGAACAAAAAAGAAAAGAGGATTTTTGTTGAGTTAAGAAGATGGAGAAAGAGAGAGAGAGAGAGAGAGAGAAAGGCTCGATCGCTGAGACTCAAATGCGTGCGAGACATTTGTTGTAAGCTTGTCAATAAGTTTTTTAGATAAGAAAGCGCGTCGATTAAGTTATGCAAGACGTCAATTAAAACGAGAATATTGTACACACGTACGACACGAGCAACTGACGCGTATTAAGCTCTTTGAAAAGAAAACGTATTTGTATTTAATATTCTAGACCTCGCCTTTGTCACGTGTGCAGTTTTAACGTATGTTTGTCGGCTCTTTGTCCGATGTTGGATCGTGTGTTACAGATGACACCGGCGGGTGCGGACAATCGCGTTTTGCCGAGACTAATTTCTCGAGACGTCTAAAAAAAGCTTTACCACAATAGCAAGAAGATTGTTGCAATATTTGTATATATATGACCAGCAAGAAAAGCCTTTTGCTAAGCCTATTGAATTTTTAGTTTTGTCGATGTAACAAAAAAAAACACACTCAAAGTGCAAATTTTCCTCGCCGGTCATATAATAGCGAAACTTTTTTTCTCCGTGCGCGTGTGACTTCAAAACGCTCTTGTGTCTTTACGGTTTATCGCGAATCTATTCGCTCGTGCACGATCACGCGCGATCATTTCGCCTCCTCGAGTTGTAACGCGAAAGGTTTATCTTTCGATGATTAAAGTCGTGTGACAAAGAGATTACACCCAGCGCGCGTTTATTCGCGAAAATCATATCCATAAAAGAGTGCCGCCGTCGCCGCCGCCGCGTGTTGTCGCATTACGCGATCTTATCTCGCGTATTGTCTCGGCGTTTGCGCTCCCTGAATTTACAGCGTCCGAATCACATCCTCGCCAAATATCTCGTTTAATATTTAATAATTAATTAAGACAGCGCCGGTGCGGTCAATTTTTTTTTTTTTGTTCTCACAGGATTTGAATTTTCATTCGCGTTGCCGCTCTCTCGGGATCGAAACTTTTTTGATGCCACATATCGGACGACGCAAAATGTGTGTGTCGCGAGAGAGAGAATTAATTAAATGTTTATACAGATTGTTTGTTTTGCTCGACGCCAGAAAGTAATTAAAAGATAATCTAAAGACGTAATTTCGACAAATCCAAATTAAAGATTTTTACGAGAATATTCCCGAGACTTCAGAGAGTGTCTAGCAATTTCTCTGTCGCGCTGTTCTTTTTTTTTTTTTTAATTTCCAAAATTGATCGACTCGCACGCACCGTCAATGTTTGATATATCGCGTAGCAATTAATTAAGATATCTGAAAGAGAGAGTTAAGATACGCAGGACGGAGTGCGATAATAACGAGGTGTGGTGATCGTGTTGGAAAAAAAAAGCGAGATTGACACAAAGTAAACGTTAAATTTGAATGTCGATGTTTGAACAAGTGCAAAAATCCGACGTGACGGTTGTTTATCGTCGAAAAAGACAGAAGACGCGAACGAGAGAAAAACGCGTATGTGGAAGAAGTACGAGAGTTTCATTATAGCGGTTTCTTTGTCGCAAAGCTGTCAGCTTGTCGCCGCGTCTCGTGAAGTTACGCGGCGAAAAGAGCGCGAGAGAAACCGCGGCAATCGCGCGAAAAGAAAATGTATGCAATTTATTTACTTTTTTTCTTACTCCGGCAAATGTAATTCGCGCCGTTCTAACTCCGAATTCGTTAACGGCGCGAATTACATTTTGATGCAAAAAAATGCGCGCGCATTCGTCGGTCGCAATTTACGAGGATCCGAAGGTCAAATGTCATGCGCCAATAAGTTCGAAAGTGGCTATAAAATTTTACACAAGGCTGAAAGCAACAATTAAAACGAATTTTTATTTTATTTTGCATCACGTGTATATTTCCTTGTAATCGACCGCGCGAACAACGCGCGCCCGGTACGTACAAGTTCGCCGGGCTCTTACGTAAATGAATATATTATTTGCAGGAAATGAGGATAAGGATTGAATGACATTAACGTGTGTGTATGTGTGTGACGTTTTTCTCTTTCTTCGTTTTGCAGCAATTTTGTATTTGAAAAAACCCTTCGCGGACGTGCGGCGAGACGAGAACCGTTGCGGTTTCTTGAAAAATTTATGGAAGTGTATATTTCAAGAAGAAGAACAGCGCGCAACGCATCGAGAAACGCAAATAATTCTTCGTCCTACGAACACGAAAACTTTTCGTCGCGATCACAGCGTGTTCGAGCACGTGCGAAGGTCGCTCTAATACACGCGCAAACATTTTTTCTTCCTTGATTTTTCATTCTTTTGTAAAAAAAAAAAAAATAGAGCACGCACGCGTTTGCGAATCGCGCCCTCGTCTCTTTCGACTTAGGCTGCGTTCCGAGTTACGCATACGCACGCATTTATCTATAGTACACGTTACATATAGTATAGATAAATACGTGCGCACTGCGGGGTGCACTATACGGATTCTTGGTTGTATTAAATCGAGAATTAATCGTGCGGCTTACATTTTTTTGATCGCGAGCGACGGCGATGACAGCTGAACGAGAAGCACCAGAACGAAGACCCCTCCTCCGAGAGTCATTCTCAAAGCACCTTTTTTGTCACCGAACTGTACCGCTAATAGGCTCCGACTGAACCTTCTTTATAACTCATGAGTGTGATCGAGTGTGAGCAAATTGCCGGAAACCAGACGCCCAGACCAAACCTCGCGCTCCCACTCTCATGGTGCTCCTCAAGATCAGCTTGCACACACACACACACATATGCGCGATCTATGTGTGCGTGTGTCAGTTATGTGTGTCTAAAGCTTACAATGTTGTGTAGACTTTTGCGCTCATCCGCAGTCTTCGTATAATTTACACACGCGCGTTGCAGATGATGCACTAATTAAACTTGCGAGATACTTTAACACACGCAGATATATCACATTAAACCGACACACAGGAGCCGCTTCTTAGAATTCGATTATTTACTTGCGTTTTGAAAAAATGTTACCAGTTGTACATCATTCACATTTCTTGTACAATGAAATAATTTTGCCTTATCTTCCGCGTGAACTTACAACAGCTTTTATCGCAGCGATTGCGCGCGTCATCTTTCTTATAGCGGTAGGGTTTTTGCTCAGCAATTTTGCAGAGCTCGCGAGATATTTATTTAAAAAATTTTAATTTGCAATAAATATCTGTGCAGAGACTATAAACGCTGTTCGTACAATACAAAAATGTAAAAAAAAAGCAGACTGTACAATTTATTTATATACAAAATATATATTTTATATATTGTATCATATGTTTACCTTATTTATTGTTAATTAACACAATATCAGGTTTCATACGATTGACGGTGTATGTTAACAAATGAAGATCTTGCAAAAGTTTTGTTAATCTCTTAAAGTGCCTGTCGGTGTAAGGTATCATGGCTTCTAGGGTGGAAGACAGGCCTGGTACTCGCAGGTCCTGTGTGCCTATTTCCGTTATCAAGGCGTTTATAACCATCTGAACGTAACATAATTAATTATTTAGAAAGTATCTCTAAAAACTATTTGTACAAATATTTGTATAAATGCTGGTGAACTGTTAAATATTTACCTGAGCGACATGTGAATTACGACTGTTTGTGTTCCACGTAACCGCGCATTTAAGCAAGGCTTCTTTACGAGCTGGTTTCAACTCCTTTATTATTTCTACGAGTTCGTTGTTTCCTTTTTTCAATACAGCTGTTGCAAAACACATAAACCCATCAATGTTATCACGTACCACTGACAATGTAAATACACGTCAAACACTGCTCGATACGAAGAAACTGTACCTTCTGTGATCCTGAGAGCTTGTAAGGGACGCTCCAACTTCAGAGCCAATCGCAACGCAGCCTGGAGCTCGTCCTTTTGCAATAAATTCGCCAACTTTTGCTCCTCGAGCGCGAGCTTTTCCTTTTTTGCCGCGACCTGTTCTTTCCTCTCCTCGGTTACGTCCCTCCAAATAACCAACAACGAGTCGCTACCCCCGCTGATGATGTGTTTCTGATCCTTGCTGACTGTTTGTGTAAAATAACACAATTGCAAAAACATTGTCAATTGTTACAAAATATTTTTTCATAATCGAGACTTACCAGCGAGCGTCCAAACGTGACTCTCGTGCTGGTCCAGGGTGCACACACATTCGGACGTTTTGATGCTCCATAATTTTATGAGACCATCTCCGCCCGACGTTATTAACTGCATACCGCGCGACAGGAATTCTCCTCTTAAAACAGAGGATTCGTGTCCTTCGAATGTCTGTGAGACAACAAGAACAAATTTGTAACGAAATATATAATATGTATATAAAAAAAATGTAAATGATAATCAAGTCAGTTTTTCTTTTGCTTACTTTCAGACAGTTGAGTTCCGTCAAAGACCAGAGTTTCATCGTACAGTCGGCAGATGTTGTCAACAGGACTTGATCCACCGGCGAGAATCGAACGCACCAAACGCTCCTTCGGTGACCGTGGAACACCCCGAGCAATTGCAAATCGTCAGCAGACCACAGCTATACAGATATGTTATATCGCCAGATTTTATATATTTATAGGTTTTGTAAAATACAATATGTTTAAAATTATTCACACACATGAGCAAGCAGCAGGTTTATGATATATACCTTAGCAGTTTTATCTTGCGACGCCGTAGCAATCAGTTTGTCATTCGGGGAAACAGTTACGCAGTTTATCTCTTTTTGATGTGCCAATACCGTGTGACTTACATTCAATGGCAAATCCGTGTCTGCAAACATTGACGATTACATATTTTATTTCAAAACTCGCAACGCGAGTTCCCTCTTACAACTTACCGTGTGGCAAGAGACTGTCGGGAAAGTCCCACAATTTCAAACACGAATCTTGAGCGACAGTGGCGAAGAATTTGGGTGATAACTGGGATATAGCGACGGAACTGATCGACGCTGTGTGCCTGACGGCACGTCCGATGCAGGACATTCTTGCTGTTTCTTTATCCAGCAACCACATATGAATACTGTTATCCTATATAAGTCATGTTTCTTTAGTTATACAAAAGCAACATTGTTTAGTATTATTATTATTATAAGTATTGTTAGAAGATATTTGCCTTAGCCGCAGATATAAGCAGATTCGCGTTTGCTAATGTCGTAGCGAGAGCCAAAACGCTATCGGTGTGACCGCACAGCAACTGACAATTCATAGTAGCGAGTTCGTAAACCTTTATGTCGCTGCTATTGGTCGCGAGTGCGATGTGACTGTCATTATCTCCGAGATAAACAACATCCAAGATCTCGTCGCTGTAACCCACCAACTACCGCGGTTCAAACGAATTAGTACGTACATCCAAGCGTAAATGAGATTTATTCTATAGAATTGTGCGTATAAAGAGCTCACCAACCTGTTTTTTGCACTCGAACAATTCCAACGAATGAATGATTATATTGTGATCAACGGACACCACTGCGAAAATATTGTGAATACTGTTGTAAAGTAAATGCGTAATCGACAAACCTCCTTCTTCCTTAGCTGGCGATACCAGAGAATTATCCTGTTTGTAAATCTGTCTACCTGACTTCATTTCCCAAATTGTGACAACACCTGGAAATTATTTTTCCATTGAGCCAACACACATTTTCTTTTACTCCGCGAGTAAAATAATTCTTTTACTCATGTCGATCATAAATTAAATCACGTAGCTATTCACGCACCTTTTTCACCAGCCGCAGCAACGTAAACGTCGCTGCTTTTACGTGATTTGATAAATACCGGTAGATTCTGAGCGGACACTATAAACGCGCCCTCTATTCCTTCGTAAACCGGTAAAACACGCACCGATGTTCCGGACGATATATCCCATAAGATCAGCACCTTATCTCGTCCTGAACTGTGTGTATATATCTATTAATATTAATTTACGTGTATAAATCATAATACAATGTTTATTTATTACCTAACTAAGTAATTGTTATTTTCGTGAAAACTGAGCGAAGTAACTTTGCTGAAGTGTCCGGTAAGAGTAATTATTTCCTTTCCTGTTTTAATGTTCCAACCGTGAATTTTTGTGTCATCGCCAGCGGCGAAAAGAAGGTGTTTTTCGGTTTTTGGATGAAATTTTAATACACTAAAAAAGAGCAACAAAACATACATACATACATCACCATCGATTCCGCAATATTTTACAAAATATGTAATATTTCATTATATAAATGTCTTTACCTAATTACTCCCTGCACACCTTTGAGACTGTGTGTACAAGCATGATGTTGAAGATCCCACAATCTGACAGCCCCGTCACTGCCACCGGATGCCATTAAAGTGATGCCACTCAGAAGAGTTATCTGCGCTACTGGTCCTTTGTGAATAGACTTCCATAGTTTGGTCAATTGTGCAGCTATAAGAGAATTAAGAAAAAAAAAAAAAAAAAAAAAAAANAATTACACAACACATTTGAATCTAAAAGTTTATAAAAGTTTTGGCATATGTTGTTTACTTTTCCAGTCCCACAATTTGAACAATCCGCTTTTATGATGAGTAATTATATTTGTATCGTCATTGTCAAGAGCAAAACAGTGTATTGTATCTTCTTCTTCCTTGACATGTGTTTGCCCCACCAGCGATATCACAGAGCCTTTCTGTAAAGATATCACTGATATACTGCCTCCTTTCTGACAGAACAAGTGCTCTCCATCTCTGCTCCACTGCAATAAACAAATTTTTATTTACATATATACCTATTTCTTTCTCTAAAATGCAAAAGAGATCCATTTCTTCCTATGTAAAAATCTACCTGTATATTTCCACCGGTGTAAAAAGCACCGTGCTTGCATTCTACTTCGAATCTGTAAACGTAACACAATTGAATGTTTACAAGCAACATATATATATATATCACATATCTACAATTATTGAAACAAATCAATACTAACGCTTCTTTGAGATTGATCCTGCTCATTTCTGTCGCACGTGCTGGACGTAATCTGCCCGTGGCACGCTGTTGCGCTTCTTCAACTTCAACGGGCACGTCAGCGCGGCCCTTTGCGATAATCAGAGAATTACGATCGATCCTCGAAAATGAGTATCGACAGAGAGAAGACTGAGAGCAGAGAGAAGACTGAGAGCGGCCATGCCATTGTTTTTTACGATGGTTTCCAGCCGCTACTTTCAGCGCCGGGTTCCACTTTGCGTGAAACTCTCGAACTACGAAACGAGTTCCAGGCGCATACGATAAAAATGTATCTCGGTAAGAGTCTGTGCTAAATTCACTTTTATTCGGTTTGAATCCGTGCTACATCCACTTTACTGTCGATAAGTAGAACTGCCAAGCATCGGTAATGGAGGCACGCACACAAACGAAACCGTGTCCGTGTGCGTGACGTCCAACGACATGAATGAAAGTGGATCTAGCACGGACTCTAACCGAGATATATTTGTATCGTATGCGCCTGAAAGTGGAACTCGTTTCGTAGTTCGTAAATTCCACGCAAAGTGGAACCCGGCGCTGAAAGTAGCGGCTGGAAACCGTCGTAAAAAACAATGGCATGGCCGCTCTCAGTCTTCTCTATGGTTCAAGCTTCCGCTACTTGGAAAGTGGTACGCATTAGCCGGCTCGGACTGACGAATATATCTTATACATTTTTGATGGGTCTTCAATATGCTGACGGCAAAAAAAGTATTCACTTTTTAATTAATGATATTAATTTGTTTATTCAGAGTTAAAAAAACGCTTATCGCGAGCACCCACGTGCGCAGACTGTAGAAATCATATGTGACGTTACCGCGCATACGCGAAATATGATAATTGGGAACCTTGATCCAGCAACAACACGCCATCTATTTTTCTTTTTTCAATCTTCTTTTTTTCCGACCTCCAACTTGATCATTAGTCGATAACTCAACGCTGAGAAAAAAATACTTTCTCGAAGAAATAAAAATTGAAAATCGCGTATGTACAAGACGTGTGCAACAGACGTTTTTTTTTTATCAGTGGGAAACGATTATTTCTCGATAATCAATCAGTTGCGACGTATTCAGCAGTGACGGAAATCAAAAAATGAAAAATTGGAATTTTTTCAACATCAGTTGAAAAAAATAGATGGAAATTATTGATTGAATTTTGACAGAAAACTTGGAGATTGGTAGATATATAACCTTCTGCGCGTTCAAAATGGCATCGTGTAATCGGTAATTACACAAATAGTTTGTTTAAATGATTAACAGAAAGATTTTTTGCGAATATATCTATAAAAACAATTTGATCGTCAATCAATTATCTGACATAACAGGTTACCGCTGCGGAAGAGATCGCTGGTTGGGATTCTCACATTGCGCATTGTTGCGCACGCGCACTCCAATTCGGCCTGCTCCAACGTATCCGAAGGTGCCAATCGAGTCGCGCTATTGTTAATCAGCAGTGGTGGGTCACGACAGTTAGGTATTGGGTGAGGAGCTTAGGATCGGGTGATTGGAAAGTTGCTGCTAGCGATCGGCGAGGAGACGCACGCACGCACGCACGCACGCACGCAGTCGGAGCCGGGGTTTTTGTCACCTCGTTCGGTTGCAAAGAGATTGCAAACGCGTCATACGCAGTCGTCGTCGTCGTCGTCGCAACGGTAAGAAATCATCGGCGTCGAAGATGTTTCACGTGCGTAGTCTCGCGCGGTCGTCGATCGCCCTGAAGCAGGCACCGAGCAACGACGTGATGCAGAACGTGATGACGCGCGTCGCCGTGCCGGCCACCGTGCAAACGACGTCGACGACGTTGCTTAACCAACGTCGCGGCTACGCCGATCACCAAATCCCGGATCGTCTGAAAGATGTGGCCGACGCGCCCACTCCAAAGTTCTTCGACATGGTGGAATACTTCTTTCATCGCGCCTGCCAGATCGTCGAGGACAAGCTGGTTGATGACATCGGCAAGCGGTCACGCGTGTCGATCGAAGATCGCAAGAAAAAGGTTAAGGGTATTCTGATGCTGATGGAGCCGTGCGACCACATCCTCGAGACCACGTTTCCGCTCAGGCGCGACTCCGGCGATTACGAGATGATCACCGGTTATCGCGCCCAACACTCGACTCATCGAACACCTTGCAAAGGAGGTACCGTCAAGTCCTTGAGATGCCAAGTGGCAATTTCCGAGTAGGAGAATTTTCAAGGAGAACTTCTTTCTTTCCTCTTCCCGACTTCGGAAAAGACGTACAAGATATATTTCTTTCTTTTTTTCTCTCTCTCTCTCTCTTCATTTTAGCTTTCTTTATTTAGATTTTTCTATTTTTATCGAAAATATTTTTTAACATGAAACTACGACAGGTATATTTGTTTTTCTGTTTGTTACGCTTCTATTTTTATTCTTTTACCGCAATATATTACAAATGCGTGACTTTTAAAAACTAATCAACTTTTTATTTGCGTACATACACATGTTTGTTCTCTCAAAAATGCAATCTCGACACACGGAATAGGACAATATCGCTCACATGACTGATAAAACTACCAACTCGTATTATTGTATTTGCATACAATGATCGTTGTGTATACATCTGTATTTTCAATTATATTTCGCGCAAATTCGCAAAGCACCTTCGGGGCGATAATGATGACTGTGACTGATTTGCATTCGTCAAATGATTAAAAGTCTTTACGTGCACGTGAATGCTTGCGATTGATTACGCTATCGGTAGTAGTGTGAGATTTGTAAAAACTCACGCGCTGAAACAAGCCGCTAATACGTTATCTTATTATTTTCATTAACAAGACGAATCGCGAATTGTTGTTTTAACGGATCATCATCAATAAAAGACGCGACGATAAAAGTAAAGAGAATCGCAACAATCGTGCAAATTTTTCCAACGCTTGTGCGTCAAATTAAATGTTTCGTTTTGCTCGTCGTGAAAAAAAAAAAAAAAAACGTACGTATGCGGACGACTCTTACGAAAGTGAAGAAAGCCGTTTTTACGGCTTCGCGCTGCGTTGCGACTTCAGCCTTGGAACCAATAAAAACCCCGCAGATAGACGTAAAGATGTGTATCAGATAACGAAAGAAAAAAAAACTTGTCAGTCTCTCGCGTCGCAAAAATATTTCCAACTAGCTCGAACGAAATGTACGTGAGACTAGTAATTTTTTCATCAACGATAAATCGCTCTTTTTTTTTTACGTATTTAATTTTTGACAAAGTTGATTCTTGGTAACGCGGACACGATCAGAATCAATTGGTCGACGCGACGACCACCGCGTTGTCGCGCACAACAGAGAGACATGTAAAACTCGGGGTTCTCATGTTACTCTGCTGATGATGAATGAAATGCGCTTGATATCTCATATTCGGCCATTGCGGCCATTTGTTCATCACCACCGCCGTCTTTCGACGACGCCACGTGAATATTTTTAACAATAGCATCGAACAACCAATCGGCTACGTCGAACAAAAACAGAATTCAGAACAAAAAGTGTGGAATTAATTAAGATGAGACGGAATTAAATGAGAGTTAAAGTACTCGTGAATAAATTCCTCAAGCGATTACTGCGACGAGGATTTGGACGAGATATTTTTTCTTATCTCGCGAGGTTTTTTTCTTTTTTTATCTCGACAAGAAAGTGGTTTATCCGGGGCTTATCCCGCGGCGAACAAAGAACGGGAAGGGGAAAGGATTTAAGTGTCAGAAATATAATTTACAACTCCGAGCGGATTTCGATTACGGTATCGAGAATGATTCAATAGCGCGTGAACTTAGAAAACACACGATGCCAGACGGCATCTACATATGTATGTACCTGGTCTTTTATTTTGCTCGCGCCAAGTCGTGAGCAAATCGGCCTTAAAATAAATTCCGGTAATCTGGTGCGCCGACACACGTTTTTAACGGCAATGACATAATATTTCGGGTTAACGATCTCGTACGTGCTCTTCCGGAGCGCAAATACTTTTCTGTAAATGACGGTCCCAGTTTGACGAGAACCCGCGCGAGGTGCTTTGCGAAAGATGCTGTTAAAAAAAAAAAAAAAAAAACATTGGAACGTCCAAATAAAAAAAAAAATAGTTTCATAAATAGACACACAACTTTGCGCTCGATAAAATATTTGATTACACGTGTACGATCACGTGTAAGAAATGTCAACGCGTGTAAGAGAAGCTGCTCTTGAACTCTGATGAAGTAAAATCATTTACGAAACGTTGGTGTAAAAATTCCACGCGGTTTCGACTCATTCTGAAGATGTAAAATTGCGATAACACGAGAGAAAACTAATAAAACACTTAAATATCTGCGAAATGGCAAAATTACTTGTTTGTCGTTACATAAAGTAATCGATAAATAACGTTAAGTGGTTCGTCCAGCTGTTGTTGTAGGAAACCGATAGACTTCTATTGGAAGGAGTTAATGGTGTGTGTGTGTGTGTAAAACTTTTTAGAGTATAAACACGAATCAGAGAGTATAAATATCGAATGACACTCTGGTTTGAAAATAGTCGTGAAAACAAATTGCTCTTAGTTTCCTAATTGTATGTTTTTCATTGTAAAATTGCGAGTTGAATTTTCGATGCGTCTAAATAATTTTTTATTTCTTTTTCGCAGGTATCCGTTTTTCAATGGACGTCTCGCGGGATGAAGTTAAAGCGTTGTCGGCTTTAATGACGTTCAAATGTGCGTGCGTCGACGTGCCTTTCGGCGGTGCCAAGGCAGGAATTAAAATCAATCCTAAAAATTATTCGGAACACGAATTGGAAAAGATCACCAGAAGATTCACGTTGGAATTGGCAAAGAAGGGATTTATCGGTAAGAGGGCGTGCCACGTGCCGATAAATAAAAAGATAACCGGGAAAACTTCTCGCCTGTGCTCAATGAAAACAAATTCTCGTTACATCATCTCGTAAATGATGTGGCGGAACGTAGCAAGCGGAGGCGTGTGATGTTTGCGCGATAATTTTAGATGGCACTGAGATGCCCGCGAAGAACACATTCTGCTCAAGTCTCGTGATGTCTGTCAACGCGCAAAATTGACCCACTCTGTTACGTCACGAAGCAAACGGTGCTGCCACGCGGCCCGATTTATTATTAGAGAAAAAGATGTATCGTTTGTGTGTGCATTGTATTACAAACGAACAATGCAAATTGACATTATTTTTTTTAACGCATTCCGATTATTAACGCTATATAGTTGGCGCGAAACACCGAACAGGTGTTCGGAGAGAAGATCACGATAACGTATTCAGGTGTCTGACACATTGAGCACGCGATGAGATTAGAAAAGTGGAAAGCAAACAGATTATACTCTCGAGTGCGATATACGAGATTTTTGGAAATGCATTTAAAATAAGGGGCGTGTCAAATTTTATTCAAATTATTATCTAATTCATTTTTTAAGATATTTATATATAAATTTATATGTCGCTGCTCTAATGGACAATATTGAAAAGTTTTTTTAAACAATAAAATTGAAATGTAAATATTTTTCTTACATTAAAAACTTATAATGAAACAGATATTGATATTATGATATAAATAAAATAATGTAATCTTAATTAGTAACTAATATATATAACTAACATACATAATTTATAAATCACACAATACAAGTTTATTTTTTATAAAAAAAAAGTCTACAACAAAATTATCTCGACAATCAATAATGTTTTCAAAATGAAAAATTACTTTCTTTCTAGGACCCGGCGTTGATGTTCCTGCTCCGGATATGGGTACTGGCGAGCGCGAAATGTCGTGGATAGCCGATACTTACGCGAAGACTATCGGTCACCTCGATATCAATGCTCATGCATGCGTCACCGGCAAACCTATCAATCAAGGTGGTATTCACGGACGTATTTCCGCAACAGGTCGGGGAGTATTCCACGGATTGGAAAACTTCATCAACGAGGCTAATTACATGAGCATGATCGGTACGTTGGCGGATTATCGTTTTTCGTCAACAATATTTTATTAACGTAAGAATAATAATTAAAGCTAATCTATTTGACCAGGTACCACGCCTGGTTGGGGAGGCAAAACGTTTATCCTTCAAGGTTTCGGTAATGTAGGTTTGCACTCGATGCGCTACTTGCATCGGGCAGGTGCAGCTTGCATCGGTGTGATTGAACACGACGGCTCCATCGTAAATCCGGAAGGCATCGATCCTAAGGTAAATAAATAAGCTTTATCGCACTTTTTATCTATCACTAATCTCATTGATGAAACTGCATTACTTATCGATATCTTTCTTTCTACACGCAGGAATTGGAGGAGTATCGCATAGAAAACGGTACCATCGTCGGTTTCCCCGGGGCCAAGCCGTATCAAGGAGAGAACCTCATGTATGAGCCGTGCGACATATTTATACCCGCTGCCGTGGAAAAAGTCATTAACAAAGAGAATGCCGGACGTATTCAGGTAAAAATTCTTTTGTGAAACTGTTAACATTATTTTTATATTTATATTTATATCTAAAGATCGTCCGACTTCTATTTTTTGTAAATAAATTGTTTACCGCAGGCTCTATTTTTTCTCGTATTTAATAAATTAGCACAGAAATCTAAACAAATATTTTTGCGTAGGCGAAAATTATTGCAGAAGCCGCTAACGGACCGACCACTCCAGCCGCGGATAAAATTCTAATCGAGAGAAATATCCTCGTGATCCCGGATCTGTACATTAACGCCGGTGGTGTCACAGTCTCATTTTTCGAATGGTTGAAAAATCTGAATCACGTGTCGTACGGCCGTTTGACTTTCAAATACGAAAGAGAATCCAATTATCATCTCTTAGGTACGTTGAAAACTACATTTAAAAATTACATTTTTGTTTGTACAGGTATATAAAACTTAGAAAATTTCTTTTCGTTCCTAGAATCGGTGCAGGAGTCGTTAGAACGTAGGTTCGGTCGTGTCGGCGGTCGTATTCCCGTCACGCCGTCCGAAGCTTTCCAAAAACGTATATCCGGTGCTTCCGAAAAAGATATCGTTCACTCCGGTCTGGATTACACCATGGAGAGATCCGCCAGGGTAATTGACCGTTCAATTATTTTCCAAAAGAACTTACGTTATAGAATCCGGAAGTTAAACGACTGTATTATTTTCTTTCCGCAGGCCATTATGAAGACTGCCATGAAGTTCAATCTTGGACTCGACCTCAGAACGGCCGCGTACGCTAACTCAATCGAAAAGATATTCACCACTTACTCAGAGGCTGGCCTCGCTTTTTAAGATATCTTAGTCGGATAAACAGTCGGCGAATCTTTGTAATAATGTTAAAGTTTTTGCAATATGACCGCGAGAAGAGCGACTCGGTGTATCATCCATCTTTCAAGCGACGACGGCTGACAGTTTATATTTACGAAATAATAAAGTAAGTAAGTAAGTACCGAGACTCGCGATAGATGTATCATTGTTCGTCACGTTTTTGCAAAAAGCCATAAGACATTTGCCTAGCTACATATACACTCACATACACACACGTATATGTAAAAATATAGATCATGTCGCGAATCAAGCTGATGAATCCAAGTCGGGTAAAACTACTCTGATGAAATAGCGTCCAAGGAGTGAATCGAAATATATATTTCAGCCTTTTCTCTACGAAAAAAAAAAAAAAAAAAAAATAGATTGAACGAAAAGACAAGACCAGTGCATTTTTATATTTCACTTTTTATGCAGACGCAACAACGCGAGAAAGTATCATGAAGTAATAACGAAAAAAAAGTTGTATCGTTCGAGCAAATTATATAGAATCATGTCTTTACTTGAAATATTTGACGATATTTGCGATATATATATACATACATATACATATATATATATTTATATTGCCGAGATATTGCACTAATGAGAGATCTAACACGCGCGATCTCTCATCGTTATATAACAGAGAATCAGGTTTTTTCTCAAACTATCAAACGTATGTAAGCGCGCGACGACATATTCTATACGTGTATACGTACATACGCGGTCAATTTTGCGATGCGCTATTGTATTTACATGTACTATACACATATATAATAATTACATACAAAAAAAAAGTATACAATTGTTATGCGACAAACTTGTTAACAAAGACGTGAGATTTTAATTCTGAAAAAGTTAGCTTACACACACACACATACGCGCGCGCGCGCGGCGGAGCGCCGTTCGGCATGTTTTTGACAAATCAAATGTGTTATTGTATAGCAAGTGCCCTCCGCGCGCGTTGCAGCAGTACTTACCGATTATACTTCGGAAATCATAGAAATAAACAAACTGATACGTTACACCTAATATGTACATCGTTATCTTGTCACCTTGATTTATATTGGTTATTAACCCTTTCCACCTGTATCCTTGGACTTTAACACGTACATACGTACAAAGCAGAGAGAGATACAAGTGGTTCCGTTCTCACGTTATATTATTCACGATCATAAGTCGTGCACTCGCACAAAATCGTCCGTATTTTACCCTACGAGAAATCTACGATTTTTTTTTTCAGCACGTCGATTTGCGCGTCGATATGTTGTACATGTGATCGACGATAAATTTTGTTTGTAACAAACGCCTCGCACGTGCATTACGCGTCAAGTTTCACGCGTGAGAATTGAAGCGGCACGGGTACGTCACGCGCGCGTAGTTTTTTTATTTTTTTTTTCAAATTTGCATTCTATAGAACACGCATTAAAATTCACATAAAAATTATTTCTCTGCCAATGTTTTTTTTTTTTTTCAGCGAGAGCGTTCGGAATTAATCGAGACCATTTGTCGTGGATTTGTCACACGTGATGTGCAGACGTGATTTCAGACTCGTCATCGGATTGTTTCGGAGACGTCAGTCAGAGGACAATAAATAAATAAAAACCCTCTCGCTCTCGTCATAAACCAAGTGTTGATTGCCACTGTCGTTGGAGATGTCAGACACGCGCGCGTCTATACGACCGTCGCAGCTATTCAACCGTGACGAATTTAGAAGTACAATGTGTATAGTTAGCGCATGCACTCGCTAAAACTTGCGAATCGCCTTGGTTCACCAGAAGGAAGACGGAACGCGCTTTATCCAAGTTCTGCGTCTCCTTCCCACGTGTGCGATAATTCAGGATCCAAAAACTACCTGGGATCTTGTAATTCAACGTTAATATTATATTTAAAACAAAACGTCGATACTTTAAAGATCCTCGATAGCTCCCGGCCGTCTTCGATCTTATGACGTCAGGGAAGCAAGAAAAAGTTCGATTTTCCACGTTTCTGACGTCATAAAATCCAAGATAGTCGCGAAAGAGAGTCTGATCAATCAAGGGAACTTTGTTAACGGGAAAACTACTAATACGGACAATTTTGAAAGTTGTTGCAAAATTTACATTAACAAAATTTAATTTTCTCAATGAGATTACACTCAGTGTGTTCTGTTGCAACGGGATTCAATTTCATCACCCACAAGATCAATATATTTTCTTAACACGTGTCTTACTGAAACTATATTGCGTATATGTAATAATATGCACATATATATGTAACATTTTACATGTATAATACCGAGAAGAGCGATGTATCTCCGTCAGTTAAAACTAACTCATTAACGAAATTAATTTTCTAATTAGAAATTACCTGTCTCGCTCTCTCTCTCTCGTGTGAGCTTGAACTACTGCACAAAAATGAACTTCAATTTGTTTGTTTTTCGCCACTCGAAAAGTCAGTCTTTTTCGTTTTGTATACTCGGATCTCGCAGACTCAGCGAGGTAATTACGTACGTACATTAATTTGTTCGCCGCGGACAAAAATGTTCTTCTCGCAACGTGGCCCCTCAATCGCAAAAATTCAAAAATATACACGCTTGCGAATATTTCCGGGTTCGAACAACCCGGGAGTCGATAAATTAAGGAAAGAAACTCGAAAGGAAGTTGTTCTCTTGGAATATTGTATAATCCGGAGTTGAATATTTTTATCCCCGGTTCGCGACGGGAATGAATATTTCGCGACGGGCAACACAAAGAGGGTGGAAGCGACAGAAGGAGGGAAAGCGCAATTCGCGATATACTGTAAATAGCACGAGGAGTGTGAGAGTGTGGGCGTGCTTACACACACACACACACACACACATGAATGAGATGGAGCCGGCAACGAGCGGTGGGCGCGCGAGCTCCGTATATGACGGCACGGACTTCGGCGGGGCGGACCGGGTCGCGTGCTCTCTACCTCTCGTCGGGGCGGCGCCCAGGCAGGTTCTATAAAGCGTCGCGACGCCACGACAACGACTTCATTCTCGTCGATCCTTCACTCGGTGAATATTTACACCGTGTCATCGGCAACAAAACAAGAGCAAGGTGATGACGAATTCTCACATCTCGAGCTTATCGTGTCCGCAAACGCGCGAGCGAAAACGAACGTACTTTTCTCGTCAACTTGTTGCCCGCGCTACCTGATGATCGCCCGTGATTATCTAACGAGTGCGAGAGACGATTTCGATCGCTTTCGGTGCGAGAGTCTTTATTTTTTGATTTTTGATTTTTTTTTTTTGATTTTTTAACGGCGGACGACTTGCAACATTCGACGTTACACGCGCGACGAAAAAAAAAATGGAGAAACGCGCGGAAGTTTTCCATATATACCACATTCGTTCGCGAGCGGGATCGGATAGCGTGATCGGATCGCGTGCCGGAAAAAATGATGTGCGAGATGATAATCGCGCGATGTTCAGTTCGATTCACGTGTCATCTTGTTTGTCTAAAAGCGACGTTGTGTGTATGTATGTGTGTGTGTGTATGTACGTGTGTGCGCATCGTGCGTATCAAAGTCAACCGTAAACAACACAAGTGAAAAGTGTCCATATGGAGCGCGTCGTCCGCACGTAGATCCTCTTTTCCGAAAAAAATAAATAAATAAAATTTCTCAATTCAAACTCGACGCCAGTCACGTGCGTGTCAGCCACACGGAACAAAATAATCCACAGAAACCTCCATTAGACGTCCGTTCGGATATATCTTATCGGATATCGGCACTATGGACGTCTAATAGACATCTGACGAGGTGTTTTGTTCCGTGTCGATAATATCTTCGGTGTGTGCACACACGTCTTTTTTTTTTTTTTTTTTTTTTTTTTTTTTTTTATATATTAAAGGGAATGTTTGTCCCAGGTGGCGAGGTTCGAATCGCGCGTCAATCCCTCCGATTTGATACCCATGGCGACCATGAGCAACAGCAATGGATCAACGGTACAGATTAACACTCGGCCCGACGACATCCGCAGACGGATCATTGGATGTGAGTCTTTTCAATTCTTATTGCGACGCGAGTCGAAATTTCGAAAACACGCGTTAAAAAGACGCGTTGAATTTGAATTTTTCTCCGCCAAATTGAAAAGAGACGAAATCAATAAAAATTTCGATTTTATCTTTCCTGTTTAATTTGTTTTTTTTTTTTTTCCATTAAAAAAAAAAGGGAACTTTGCTTCCGCGACGTTGTTGTTGACGCCTGTGAGTCTTTCTCATTTATATTCTATTTGCCGAGTCACACCGAGTGAAACGTAATTAAGCGTACTTTTCGCGCACGTTCGGCGAGACGACTTATTAACTAACGATTTATTTCGAGCGCGTACGTGGCTGAACGAGTCCGAAGGCTCTTAACGTCGTTCCGTTTGTTCCCCGAGCTTTTGAAATGAATTATTTCGCGAGTGTAAAGAAGGTCGAGTACGCGTGGCCGCACCTCAACACTGTGCGACACTCGACTCGGGTGCTCCTCGCACGCGGGGGTTGACTTTGTTTGCCTCCCCGCCTCATCAAAGAATAAGATATTAATATTATAGCGGACGTTTTCAAAGAGAGACACAAGTGTTTTCAAAAATTTGTTTATTTGAATGCGAGCAGAACGCTGATGCGCAAACGAACACACTCTCTCTCTCTCTCTACACCCACGCCAAGTCTCTCTCCCCGTCGCTGTTTCGGTCGATATTTGCGAGGGGAACGAAGCGCGTTAAACTCGGATCTAGGCTACCGAAACAAAAATAGTACTACCTGTAGATATTTCCTCTCAAGGGAACTATTCCTAGAGACAGATGATCTGCAAATGTGTATCGCATTTTATCGCGTCCATCTCCCACGTATAGAAGTTGGGGTGACACACTTTTCATTGCTCGCAATCATCAGTTAACCGCTCATCTCCGGTCGGAGACACAAGCAGCAAGTGGAACAATCGGCCGTGCGGTCGGACGCCAGAAGTACAGAAAAGACGTATAGATTATATATTGGCGGGGATCGCCGCCTCGTCGTTCTTCTTGCGGCTTGTCGCTACGTGGGGTGGTTTTCTTTCTTTTTTTTTGTTCAATAACTGTAACCAACAATCGTGAATGTTTAAATAATTATTGGACACGTGAATATCAAACATGTAACGATTCTCAATGTTTTGAGCGATTTTTTAAGTATCTCTTGTTAAATACCACAGTTCCTAACTTTGCGCATAAATATTTTTTACACCAATGAAATACTAATTACATTTTGTTATAAACACTTTTGTGGAAAACTATTTTGTTATAATTATTTCTTTGAAAAAAATGTCAGTTTTTGTGTCGCAACATTAATATTTATCTTGTATTTTAAATCACGTCAGTTTTCGGCAACGCTCGCAACTTGATGTTTTCAATTGCGTTTCGAGACGGGAAAGAAGAATGGATTCCGAATGAGTCGTCGGCAAATATAAATTGAAGGAAGTGTGTCCGCCTAGAACAGTTTCTCGAGGCGCGCGTGAACTTGGAAACGCGCTTTAGCATTCACCTTGCTTCATACGGCGCTCTTTCTATAGACTCTCACGCTATAACCGAGCGCGGCCGATTTTACTTCGCGGAAATAAATCGATCGAAAATATCCTCAACGGGGGGGGGGAGGATAATATCAAAATTATCTAGAGGCTAGTTCTTCGATCATCGCGTGCGTGTGTATATCTCTCCGATGACAAACGACACACATTCGCCGCGCGGGGAAATAAATTCATATTCGTTGCTCGTGTCTGTCTCGAATGGAGTTTCTAATTACGTTTCTTCCTCCGACAAGCATCTCTTTTGTCGCGACTTTCGGCGACACCAACAACTACAGCGTGTGTATAATGATAAGTGTCGACGAGTGACACACGCCGACGAGAAATTTGTCACTCACGTGGTAGTGACTTTTGACATGCGACACAGTCGTTTGTAAGATATAGACACACGTGTGAGAAACTGATGCACGGATCGAGAATTGTTGTACAAAAACTTGGAATTCTTTAGCGGCAACAGATTGTCGACACAAAATGGTGAAGGATAACTTAGGAGAGAGCAAATTTCAAACTAGACATTTTGTCGCGATTGAGAAAATCGTAAAAGATAATTTAGAAGAGCCAAGCTCTCTGAAGTGTGTAACTTCAACTTATTCTCGGAAACACGAGTGTGTTTCTTCTGAAATGTCGCGCGAAATATTTTTGCACAATTGCTTATCGGTTCGCCGAGATGACACTTGGCGAACCGATTCCGTCCCTCGCAACGATTTTAAACACAAGTTGGCGCACCTTGAACGCGCGTCTCGAAGAGACAAGCGTCAAAGGCACTTTGCTCTCTTCGTGTGAGAGACGCGCGTGTCAATTACTTGAGCAACGTTCTTTGACACAAGCATATGTCGTGCGGAACCCCTTAACCCCGCAAACGAGCAGGGTAAAAAATACGAGGAAGGGTGCCAGGAGGAAAAAATAGCAGGAACGGCGACCAGCCCCCCGAGAGAGAGAGAGAGAGAGAGAGAGAAAGAAGGGAGGAGGGCGGTCACGTGGGGTAGGCGGAGGGTTGAAGAGACAGAGAAGCAGGGCGCGAGCGCGCATCTCGCGCATGCTGCCTCGTCGAGAGACAGGGATGAACGAAAGGGAGGTTACTGGGCTGAGAGAAAAAGAGAGAAGTTGACCGAGCGGCAACATCTAGTTCGCGGTGAACCGTGTGAGAGGTGAATAATACGTGCGCGGCCCGGTCCGTTTTCCGCGCCCCCTCTCCCTCCTTTTTACCTTAGACACCTCGTTACGGGAGGTGAGTGACGGCATTTCAACGGTCTTGCCGACGGAGTGAAAGATTTCGCCAGCTGGTTCCCGAGATGTCGGACGGTAAGCGATGAAAAATCTGCGGAACGAACGAGCACCCTCGGCTCAACGAGGAGATGACATATGAGAAACTTCGTCCTCGATTCAGAATAACATCTCGTGTGCTTTTCTGTGTGCGTAATCTCGGTCTCGTTACAACTTCTCGAGACTGTTGATACACGCGTTGACTCTCCCTCATTTCCCAGCTGCGGCATTTCGTGTAAAATAGATAAATTTGTATCGCGCAGCCGTCAGAACGATTGAAAATGTTCCAAGCGAAAGAAAACGTTGAATTTTGTCATTTTTTTTTTCAATCACACCGAAATTCGCATTTTCATCACTTTATAGGAGCAAACGCGTTTCTGACGCGTCGAACGCAAGAAAATCGATTGAAATTTCTTTTTTAATTTTGCCTGAATGACTCATTAGCGCGCGCGATGGCATTGCCATTGATTGGTGGAGTCACGGGAGTTTTTCCTTTTCGCGAAGTTGTCGCTCTTTTCAAATGTAGGTTGTGTGTATGTGTGACGTATATTGATCGGTTCGTAAAGCAACCGAAGGCGGAATCAATGGCGATTGCACGCGTCCACATAAATTTGCGCAAACGTATGTTCATTGTTTTAGCGCTCGGTGTATTTTTACACGAACAACCTGTCGCTTTGCTTTCCCTCTCTCCATCTCTCTTTCTCTTTCTCTCTGCGAGTAAGAGAATGTAATCGTACGATTTATTGTTTTGATGTGTCGTCGAGAGAGAAAGAGATTCGGAAGCGTTCGTTAAATTTGCGAGACAAACTAGTTCACGCACAAGCTCGCCATGTGATCCGAACTAATCGATCTCTCGGTGCGCGCGGTGTCATCAAGCGCCGATGATTGAAATTACATTTGCGTCCTGTATCTTTTTAGATTTATTTTTAAAATAAAATACCCCCCGTTTGTAAACTTTGTTGGGACAATTCCGACGTTCGATCTTCCGAGTTGTTCCGCGAACTTTTGTGGACTTGCAATAATAAAAGAGAAAGAACCCGCAGAAATGTAACAACTTTTGTCCTTGTTCACGCTCTAAGTTTTGTTTTTCCGCTTTGCTCGTTAAAAGCGGAGTGTCCCCAAAAAAAACATCGGTAACGGAAAATCTGGGTCACTTCGTCGCGACGGAAAATACATAAAATATAAATAGTCAAGTGTGTAAGAACACATCCAATAGAGAAGATTGATTGTCGCAAACTTCTCGATGTACTCAAGGAAACCAATTGAAAACTGTCTCTTTTCACGACACGTGTTTATTAATTTATATATATATATATATTTTTTTTTAATTAATTTACAAGCGCATTTTTTTAATGTGTGTCTTTTAAAAACAACTTGTACTTGTACTTGTACTTGTACTTAATGTGGCAAACGACCCCGATGTTTATTTCACGATAATATCGCGCACACAATGGAGCAAAATAAATATCGTTTACAAAGCTGTAATGGGAGAGTGAGTTACGTAAATAAATAATGTATGAAGTATTTTTTTTTTTAATATTTTTCTGACAAAGATAAATGACGACGTAAAGAACGATGTCCAGAGCGATTTTGCAGTTTCTGCTTATTGATAAGCGTTAAAATGTCATTAGAATTTCATCATAAACACGACATTTTTCCGAGTAAAATGCATTACGTATGCGCATATTTTCCGGAAATACTGGAAAATATATAACCGCATCAAACGTCATAAAACACTATATATGTATATTCTGGCTGTGTGCCGAGCCAACCTTGTACTTTGTGTTTGCTCACTCAAATCAAGTTCGATCCAAATAATTGAATATCCTTGAATAAGAAATAAAAGGCGCAAAATGGCTGTATGCTTGAATCAATTATTCGTCGTAGATGACACACGAGCTCGTTGTGTTCCGCTCATAAAGCGACTACTTTCGGGATCACAGTTTATAACCCATTAATTTTAAATTCCTTGTTAGCGAAAGATCTCGAGATCGGATTATAGAAATAATTTATTAAATTCCGCGAACAAAAGTCTTTAAAATTATGAAAATTCTATTGTGGTCCCCGGGGCAAAATTTGCGTGACAATCAACGTGTTTCGATAAAAAAAAAAAAAAAACCGAGAAGGAACACGACAATAAGAGTAAGATCGAGTGATCGGGACAACTCGATCATTTGTTTCGCGCGCGAGTATGTATGTGTGTGTGTGTGTGCGTGTGAAGTTTCCTATTAATGTCGCTTTGAATATTAATTCCGTCGTTAATGCGCACGTTGTAGCGGATGATAGTACGCAAGGCGAATCGACAACCTGTGGGACCATCCTGGTCGTGTTATCATGGATCATCGTGTTTCTGACGATGCCGTTCTCTCTCTTCGTCTGCTTCAAGGTAAAGAAAACGCACGTTCGGAAAATTCGTTTCCGCACGGAGAGCAGAGCTTTCTCCAGAAATACAACGACACACGTGTATATTTAAAGTTGTTTACCTAACGATTTATTAATGCGGAAGCTTTTTTAACGAACGATGTTGTCGCAACGCGTATATATATATATATATATAGTTACAACGTTTCATGCACGACATGTACGTGCGCTGGGCGGATCTTATTATTAGATCGCAGGTCATTGAGTGATACGCATCAGCGCGCGCGACTATCCGCGACAGTCCGTTTTTGTTCTAGTCGCACTAGCCGGCACTTTGCGCACTTACGTCGTTAATAATTTCTTATCAACAACCTGTCTCTTGCTAATTGCACACAGCGGAAACAAGAAAACCTCATGTATTTATATCGTCAATTGTCACTCGGCGACCTCAATTCTTGTTTTTTTTTCTTGTCACAAAATTTCGTTTTACTTTTCTTTTATTTTTACAAAGTAAATTTATTTATCAGCGAAATTGCTCGCGCAATCCGACACGTCGTAATCTCGAAAATTCATTCCGCTCTCTCTCTTTCTGATTTCCACAGGTTGTGCAGGAATACGAGCGAGCCGTCATATTTCGCCTGGGTCGTCTTCTCTCGGGAGGTGCCAAAGGCCCCGGTAAGAGATCGCGCGCGTCAATTGTAATCAAAGTGAAAGACAGATATTACGCTCGATTATTACGCCATTTGCGTCATATCGTCGAACGAAAATATATAACGCTGCTTGCTCGATTGGCGTCGGTGGCAAAAATAGAGCGGAATAATTGCGTGACATTTACGACGCGTGTCTGTTCGCGAGGTGTCGGGGAGTTTTTTTTTATCACGTGACACTTTGATATTTCATGAGGGAAACATCACGTTCTGATCGCGCGTTTTCTGTTTAGGAATCTTCTTCATTCTGCCGTGTGTGGACAATTACGCGCGCGTCGACCTGCGAACGCGAACGTACGACGTGCCGCCGCAAGAGGTAAACTCGTCGAGTTCGTAAAAATTGACACTAGATTTCGAACGATCAGAATTTCGAACGCAAACGTTTGATCTCCAGGTGCTGACGAAGGACAGCGTTACGGTGTCCGTCGACGCGGTGGTTTACTACCGCGTCAACAACGCGACCATCTCGATCGCGAACGTAGAGAACGCGCATCACAGCACGAGATTACTTGCGCAAACGACTTTGAGAAACACCATGGGAACGCGACCGCTTCACGAGATATTGAGCGAGCGCGAGACAATCTCCGGAAACATGCAGGTGAACATTTGAATATATTACAAATTACTTTAACCGGATTCTCCGGTTAATTATTTCTTTTAAGAGAAATTAATTTAGATAGATATTCCTAAACTGAGACGTTTTTAATGATCGCGCAAATCGTATCAGGTCTCTCTTGACGAAGCCACCGACACGTGGGGAATAAAAGTGGAACGAGTCGAAATGTAAGTCACGAATCACTTACGCCCAGACGATAATCGCGAGAGATATCGTATAAATTTTCTGCAAAACAACTTATATCTCTGTAACCAAAAAAATTTTCTTTTATTGGCAATGTAAGTTAATCGATGCGGGATTTTTTTTTGAACAGCAAAGACGTGCGACTACCCGTTCAACTGCAGCGAGCTATGGCGGCGGAAGCTGAAGCCGCACGTGAAGCACGCGCTAAAGTACGCAGTAATAATACAAACACACGCGTGTTTTATTATTTCACGCGAAATTATTCCGTAAAATTGCTCTTTCCAGGTGATCGCCGCGGAAGGTGAGCAAAAGGCTAGCAGAGCTCTGAGAGAGGCGTCGGAAGTCATCGGCGATTCCCCGGCTGCGCTGCAGCTCCGTTACTTGCAGGTAAGAGACGATTTCATTATTCTATTTCACAATTATATCGCAATATCGGATATCATTTAGCGCAGTTATCGATTTAGCGTCGATTTACATTCTCGGACGAGTTATCAGAGTTTTGTTCGCGTCCTTAATTATATTAATTTTAGAGACACTGAAACGCGACAATTATTCATTTCAGACGTTGAACACAATATCGGCTGAAAAGAATTCCACCATCGTGTTCCCGCTGCCGATCGATATGCTCACTTACTTCATGAAAGCTTTGCCGAAGGAACAATAATGTGACGAAGTTCACGGGACGAGAGAGAGAATAATAAGGTGTGAATTTCCCAAGAGGTTCCGACGGGTGAGAAATGTGTGTTTCATTTGGGAATTCGTATATATTTGATTGTATATACGCGACGAGAGAGAGAGAGAGAGAGAAAGAGAGAGAAAGAGAGAGAGAAAGCGAGCGAGAGAGAGTTGCCAATATTCGACCAATCCCCTAACAATTTAACAAGCTTAATTAAACAAAACAGCGCGCGATTGATACGAGACACGTGATTTTGTCGCACAGAATCCACTCGAAGGATATAAATGTTATACCGGTACACGACATAGACTGAGACACGTATTTTTGGACAATTTTTTACGCAGTTATTTTATACGTTTGTATGCTATAAAGACTCTGAGGCATATTTTACGTGCGTGTTTATAACAAAAAAAGTAACGCGACATGTAATATGTAATTTTACACACGTTTGTGTATTTCGGTCCATTTTCGACACTGATTTTTCACTTGATGAACTAACGCCTCTCGGACAGCGCAAACACACATTCGAGAGATATCTCGCTTCGAAGAGAGACGTCGGAAAATTGTTTTAGACATTTTTATGACATCTTTCGAACTTTCGCGCGTTGTCTGGGAGAGAAAACAGATCTCGCACTGCCTTTGCGCCGGACTCAAAACGCGATCGATTTTTACGATGCAAACCAAATCGATCGTCTTTGGCCACGAAGTTTATTCAGCGTAAACGAGTATATATTATTCGATAAAAATATGTATTAAGGGACGAGGATGTTATTTTCTTCTCTCCGCCCTGCGAATATAGAGAGAACAACAGGTTTCGTCACAATTTTATGCTTATGGCACTAAAGTTACGTTCGCGAAGTCAACAAAACTCGGTCTAGCCTATTCTATTCGATAATAGCGTAAGGATTACTTGCAATCAAGTAGAAATATATATATATATATATATATATATATTTGTGTACGTTATATTAAGATAAGAGAGTAGGGAGGTTCTCGTGGCGATTGCGTCCAACATCGGCAACTCTTTTCACCATCGATATTTATATTACATTGTTACATATAATAACATGCGTTTATTCTGGCATTTTGCGCTTTCGTGTTTTTACTTCGTAAGATAAAACGTAAACAAAAAATTCGCAAAAAGATCGAATTACATATATAAGATAAATTTTTTGCGACGAGAGAGATCAGTATTATTATTTATTCGATAAAATGTTGCAGCTTGAAAGCGAATGAGCAATCAATCTTCTATACTTCTCTTTGTTGAAAAACGTGTACTAGAATGTTACAGATCGATGTAATAACGTTATTACCGTATAACACACACATTTATCTGCTTTGATGCGACCTCTCTGAAACGTCTTATCCTGTGTTGTAAATATTTTTTCCATGTTCGTGATTCTCTGATAAGGGAAATACTGAGTTATCGCATTTTATAACTTTAACTGTTCGACAAAAAGCAGAGATATACTCGAAATATATATATACATACACACACGTGTGTGTGTACACAAGATGGGCCATGTAAAGTGCTACAAGATATTTTTTTTCAAAATTTGTTAGAGATAGCGACAAAATTCTCTGGCTGTTATGTGATACATTGGGGACCTTTCATGTGATATGTGACGTGACGTGCCGTTGTCAGAGAGCGACTCTGTATTTTTTTAAATCAAATAACATACGAAGTTAACATACAAAGTTTGGCAGATATTAATAGCACCAGTCAGAAAACGACTTATTTCACTTACTATTTTTTATATTTTTTATACTGATGTGACCAAAAAAAGTATCGCTTTATGTGGCTCATCCTATACGTTTATATATGTATATTATATATATATATAAAATTCTCTATGACTAGTTTTAAATATACCTGTCACCTATAAAGTCTTACATTTTCTAAGAGTAAGATGGAGAAAGCTACCTCTGCTCACATCTTGAATGTATAAATGCATGTACACATGTCTGTCTATACATATATATACATATTATATATAGTATATTAAGTTATGTTATACCTCTTTAATCAGTCTACCAATCTGTAGACGTTAGTTATGCAAAGTTTTTATGATGTTATCAATGTTTCAGTCATGACCTATACCGCTATATTAATTTGTACCCAAGTCAGTAATAGCACGATCGGTTTTCCAATAGTTTCCATACATATATCTCTCTTTTTATTGTACTTAATATCTGATCAGGGAATTATATCTGTTCCATCGTCGGTTCACGCACATACAAGTGCGTGATATTTATTGAATTTGTAAGAATAATTTTTTTTTCTCTTATACTCGGAACACGCAATCGTTCTTCGATTTGTGAAAAACACATGTGAGTATGTGTCATACGATAAGTTTGACAGAATATTTGTGTTGGGAAACAGAGAGATGCACTTTTTCTTGTTTTTGTTTTATTTACGCCGACACGTTTTTTCATCGAATTAAATTAGGTAATATAGTTTGTTTTGTTTTTAAGGTGATTTTATATTTAAGAGATCTTTGTATGTCGACATAAAAATTATGTGTGTTAAAAGTTTCGAAATAAAAAATGTTTTGAAATCTACGAACCTAGTAGTTGTTTGGTCCTTTTTAATCATAACGCCATTATTTTACAATCTGGTTGTGCACGGTTGTTGCACGTAATTCAGACAGAAGCCGCGATTTCCGACGTCGGCGGGTGCCTCGGTGCCGTCCGTGTGAAAAATTAATCTGAACGGTTTTACAGTACCTGAAAAGAGACAGATGTGTCTTTGATCGATCTTGAGGAACGCGCATTAACAGGCGATGTGAGCGTCGCTCGATTCGGATGTGTCCAAGCTTTAAGAAACTTTTGAAGAATCTTTTTTTTTTTTTCATATCGATATTTAAGGTAATAATAAAAAGGAATATTTACTGATAACGGATGACGCGTTCAAATTCTGCGGTTCCGCGTTGAAGGTACCGCCGCACAATCGATCGACGCACATAAGCGGCGTCGTGGGAATCCGTCCCAGATTTGTGGCGCACGGTATCGAAAGCCAATCGGTCACACAAGACACCCCCGTCATCGAGGCAATTTGCGTGTTCTGCGTATTTCCCGTCAGCGTGAACGCGTTGCTGCGCATTATTTGACCCGCTGTTGTGGTGGTCATCATTATTCCCTGAGCTGCGAACAAAATTTGTTTTTCGAGGCTTTTAGATCGTCGATGACTCTCTCTTTTTTTGTTCAATGTAACTATGTTTAAAAATTCGTTTTTACATAAAGTTTATGTAAACAAAATATATATATTATACGTTGCCATATTGTTTTTTTACCGTCTTCAGTACACGCCGTGTACTGGATTCCGCAAAAGTTTCTCTCCATCCTGATGCATATGCTGTAATCCTGATTCGACAACTGCAATCCGGTTGTGGGATCGTAGTTGAAGGATTTTATCTGACCGGACACCCCAGTGAAATACTGGAGACAGCCCTCTTCGGCGCGATAGATCGTGCTGCATCGTATCTGTGATACGCGAACTTTCCACGATCGCGGAAACGAACTGCCGCTCGTGACAAAGGTCAAAGTAACCGGATTGGTTTGTCCGACGCCCGTATCCACGTACACTGTAACGAGTGTTTAATACATATATAAACACGAACAATTAAACAGCGGTATTGTTTGGGACCCCGTTGATTCTCTTCAATTTTCAAAAGCAAAATTGTGTTGTCTCTATAATTATATCCAAGAGAAAAATAAATTAATTATTTACGTCTATAGTTATTACTATATATTCAAAATATATAATTACAATTGAAAGAAATACATAAAAATTATCCCTTTTAATCGCGAAAAAATTGAGAATAATAGTCTCGCCCTCCATCTCGCTTTGTTCTTTTATCGACCGTTCTAAACCGACCTGTCCGGTACGTTACAAATGGCTGAATACGGTTCGTCAAAGGAATTGGGTTATGAAGATCGTGTCTTTTCTTATCAAAAAAAGAGGATCAACGAGCGTGCTCGTGTTACACGGCAAGAGCGACTTAGCTGTTATCCACTCGCACACTTATCGAGCTTATCGGGCTCGCTCGGCTCGGCAAAGCGATTATAATCGTTAGCCGAGAACCACTTTTTGTTACGCTCTTCATCGCGTTACACGATTCAAAACGTAACAATTTTTTGAAAATAAAGAAAAATAAACCAACTGTTTTTTTTTTTTTTTAACTTACTGTGATTCCCGTTGTTGTTGCCGCATATCGTCGGCACCGGATTACCGCCGGAAACGATGAACTGATCGTAACTGCAGACGTTGTTTGTCGTTTCCGGACCTCTGATATTAAATTGCGCGAAGTCTAATCTGAAATAAGATAAAATAAAATGCGTGATAAAAAAAAGAAACAATTCGATTTCTTCTATTACAAAATATTATTTAAAAAATTACTTTTTTGACAATTGTTATTAAAAATTACCGATATTGGCAAACATCCGGATGCGACTTCACCAGTGTCACCTGGCAGGATTCCATGCCGTCGAAGTTGGACGGATAATTCGGATTGACGAAGTACGTGTTGTTGGCGGCGATCATCCCGCCGCAAGATACCGTCACTGTCGAAAGAGAAACATCAGGATACATCAGAACAAGTGTCTTTTATACACACCGGAAATGTTCGATTGTTGAATTACCTATGCAACAAACACCGTAACCGTTCGCACAAACGCCACCGGAGATGCCGCCACGCTGCGAGCATTCCGCCGCCGCGAGACACGTGCCGTTCTCTCCGTTCGATCCGTCGCAGATGTTGTTGTCGAACTTGACCAGTGTGAACAGCGAGAAGACTGCAAAACGCACAATTATATACATATTATTATTCTCAGTATCAGATTCAATTCTTTCCGTCAAAAATTCTTTTACATCTTTACGTGCATCTTTACTCACATCTTTTCTCTCTGCCGATTTGACTCCGATTGTTGTTCTGGACCATCGCCGATTCCCATTTGCGTTTCGTCGCGCGAGGAAACGATGTAGCGGCATCGTTTGTCTGCCAGAATCGTCTTCTGTCCGCCGCGATTTTGTGTCTGCCGCGATTATGCCAGCCGAGGATGTCGACGCAGACGCAAGATACAATATAGCACGTCAGGAACGCGATCAACAACCGACGTCCGGTCATTGTTTCAGAAATTCCTCAAGTTTGTGAAGCAAGTTTTTTTTTTATTCTCTCTTACGAAACTCTCTACGTTTCTACTTCTCTTTCTTTGGTGACCAAACTGTCGCGACGGTTCTACTCGAGGACGATTTGTGCATTTTAGTCGTTCCGAACTGAACGTCGACCGACTCCTACCGAGTCCGAGGATACAGGGTGTTTAATATATACGGAGACATCGTTTACACGGTCTGCATATCATGCGGCAAATTGTTGCGTATCATCCGAATTGCGAAGGTGCGATGCGCTACGTTGTAGAGATCCGAGCGTCTTGAGAATTATCTCGACGCGGGGAAAGTCTCTCTCGAGAAATTTAATTGACGCTCACCCGAGCAAACGTGTATTGCGCGCGTTTGGTCCGCAATGACAATCGGAGATAAAGTCCTTTTTAAACTTTCTCGCCACCTGTGTGTGAAATCACATGTAATTAACAACATCTCGTTGAACAAGACAGAGCAGCCGTTTGTGAAGCAGCCGCGAACCCCGAAGAGTTTGGAAAGTTGCTCGCGGCGCAAAATTATTTGCGGAGGAAAAAAAAAAAGATACATTTGTCTGTGTATAAAATTACTTACACATGAATTTTATGTTACACCGCGTTCGGATAGAATAAAAAGTCCGAAGGACGTTTGTAAAAATATCGAAAAGACGACGAAGAGTAATTCAAACGTTTTTTCCAATTTTCGTGCTGTCCTTGTAATATTTATATTTCCTCTTCGTTCAAATTTACACATTTTTTTCCGGTGCACGATTCAAATCGGATGTGATGACAACTGAAAAGATGAACTTACACTACAATTGACATTGGGAGCTTTTCAGCTACGTACACAAGCGACACTGTGCAACACAGGTGTCCACTAGTGTGAGTGAGACACACTGATACGCTCTTTCTCACACTAATCGACATTGTGTTACACAGTGTCACCTGTGTACGTGGCTGGAAAGCTCCCATTGTTTAAGCGAGAAAGTCCGGCTTTCCATATAAGTTATTGTTGTTCTTACGCGCGCGCGACATTTGTCATCACAGCGCGCAAGTGTACGTAACGAGATACGAGTGACAGATATGACACATATGTAACGTTGCGGCAAAATTGTCGATAAATTACCGTGGGACGCGCAGCGCGTTTGTTGACGCGACGACGTAAGACGGCAGAAATTACTCGACGCGCTGCGCAAATGGCTTTTCAAACTTTCTCAGAGCGTTGTTGCAACACAGTTTAATTAAATATTCATTCGCGATATAACGTTCGCGCTGATGGAGAATCGCGCGATTCAAAATTTTCGATACGTCGAAGTTTCAATAGAGCTGCGCGCATGTAACGAATTGAAAAAAAAAAAACACATTAAGAGAAAATTATCATATTGTTTACAGTCCGTTCGATTTTGCAAACAGCAAATACGCCTATTATTTCATTGATTAATTGAACTTTCGGCTCCGATTTGCAATAAATATCTCTCGTTTGAAAAGTCGTATTTACAATAATTATGTACAAAACACGAATTTGTATGTTTGTTAAATTAAATTTGTTGATTTCTTACGATATTAAATACATTAAATTTTTATACATCACAACAATTTGCATACACACACACACACACATTGCACTAATATTTTTATTATTTCTGAGAAAGACGAGATTCTTGAAAATGTTCCGCAGAACAAAAACTCCATTAAATGTTCATTTAAACACGTCACAGCTTAAAGCGATATCTAATTAATGTCTAACAAAGGTTTTGTTCTGTGTGCGTTTCATTTTATACGGTAATATATACATCGCATGTATGTGCATGTGTGCGTTACAATTAGTTTAGAAACATATGTATTTTGTTTTTACTACCAGCAGCATGCGCGACACACACACATGCGTATATGTACACATACACGCACGTATATGTGTGTGTTGCACGCGTTAGAAGCCGAAATAAAAAAATTTCCATTGCGCATTATATTGTTTGACGAGAGCGACTTTTGTTTACAGTTGCAATTGTAACGTACACAACATACGTAAAACAACATAAAGAAGTATCAAGAAAGACAATACCATGTTAAACAATTAAGAAAAAAGGTGATTTTTTTTGTGGGTCGCTGGTGGATCACCGTCGGGGGAGCTACCCGTGGGCGGCCGTGAGGCGCTTCCGACGCCGAGCGTGCGCCGACGCCATTGTGCGAGTGCTCACGAATAAGAGGTGGCATCGGTACGAGACGAAGGCGCGACGAGGCTCGGCGAGAACAGCCGAAATGGAGGAGAACCAAACATCGGAAAGTGTCGCCGGAATACCGGACATAACCGAATCGTTGTCGAGCGAGACCGAGGAGGCGTCCGCACTGACGAACGAGCACGGAGCGCAAGCTGTCGCGGTCACGGCGAGCGTCACTGCGGTGCCGGGCGTGCCAGGTGTTCCTGGAGTTGGTGTGCCGGTTTCACTACCTGTGGGTTCTATCATCGGAGTAGCACATAACTCCAATGGCACGACCTTCAACGTCATCACCTCGGAAGTAAGTTTCGCAAGCGGAATCGGAATTAAACAAATCGACTCGCAATTGTGTGTTTTTTTTTTCACATTGTCATCGTCGATAACGCCCACGCCGCACGTTCGCTTTTGCTCGCGAATTTTCAAGTTCTATTTAAAAAAATACAAAACAGTTGTAAAGCGAGACTTTGATACGTGTCACATTTAAATTGTCTCTATATCTCTTGCACTTTGTGCAGTTTTTGTTCTTTCCACCAACCACATGTGTTTACACAATGATGATTTCTAGTTTTATTTTGTCATGAATACAAACTCTGATTATTTCCACCAGATAAGATACAGAGAAAAAGAATGTCTAGTTTTCTAGACTAGAATCAGTGATTGTAGACAGAAAAAAAATATGACACTTATTAATATTATGTATATCATGTTTTACCTTTTTTCACGCACGTGATGCAAATCTGACCATATTTGTAAATAATGTATTTTGCTTCCAGTTGCCGGGGTCAGGGCAGTTCAAGCAAATGCTATGTGTGGATAACGGGTTCATTTGCGAACCACGTAGTGACAAGGTCACGGATCCTTTACGTTGGAATGGTGAGCTGAAAGCGACTCATATAGTAATTCAAAATCCAAACGCAGATGAAACAGATTCAGAATCAATACATGCCGTGTCTACGGCCAGTTCTGGTCAACAAATATACAGCTGGTCTGAGTCAGCGAGTTTGGCTGTTCTACCTGTCAGATGCAAGAACACAAATGCCGAGTTGCATAAGAGTAGATTTGGTTCGGGTGGTAGGGGACGGTGTATCAAACTGGGTTCACAGTGGTACACACCCAGTGAGTTTGAGGCTCTTTGCGGTAGAGCATCTAGCAAAGACTGGAAACGAAGTATACGATTTGGTGGAAGGAGTCTGCAAACACTTATCGACGAACAGATACTAAAGCCACATGCCACTTCTTGTACTTGTTCTGCGTGTTGCGACGATGATAGTGCAGTAAGTAGATCATTCGTCATCTAAAATTCATGTTTAACAAACCAAGTTCAAATTCGTAACAATATTCTTGATATTTGTTCAGACAGGACCGGTACGACTATTTACTCCGTACAAGCGTAGAAGAAGAAGAGACAGGGAACCGTCCGATGGGGATCCTCCCTCGCGAAAATCTAAGAACGATAATTCGCGAGACGGCAGCAATAACGATGAGAGTGGCGATGAAGTTGTTGTACCTGACAAAGAGGTCGCCTGGCCGCAGTTCGTTTCTGCCGACGGAATGGTTGTGCAGCAATCTCAGGAACACAACTCCGTTGTGCACAACGTACATCATGCGGAAAACGGTCTGGACGATACCTTCAAAAAATTGGACGACACGTCAAACAAACTGATGAAATTAGCTTGTGAGTTTAGACGTAATTTAGAAGAAGCCAAGGAACTATGTAGGCAGAGGAGGGAACAAGCATTGGTCGCGCAACTTGGAGCACGAGCAGATGTTATCGAAACTGTTGGACTACAACCGGCATCTAACTCAAATAATAAAAAGGTATAAAAAAGATCTGATTTTCTTAAATAATTTCTTACAGTTCTACCGCTACTTTTAGTTCTTTAATTGTCTCTCTCGTTTGTATGTATTAATTATGCTACTAATAATGATGATGAATTTCAGTGCGCGAACTGTAACCGAGAAGCTTTCGCGGAATGTTCGTTGTGCAGGCGCACGCCGTACTGTTCCACGTTTTGTCAGCGCAAGGATTGGGGTAGCCATCAGGTGGAGTGCGTGAAAGGCGCGGCGGAGACCGTGATGCTTATTGTAGATGCTAGCAGCAGCGGTGATACCGCGCTTCCGGTAACTGCAACGGACCAATAGCTAGTGTTTCTCACGCCGATTCACCAAAGGAATACGGAGGATGAAAAATCCGGCATAATAAGAGCGCTAAAAGAAGAAACGCAGACTTAAAGCAACTAGTATAAAATTAAGATGTGCAAAAAATGAAAATGTACGAAATATAAAATAGAAAAGATACTTACCCGGGGAGATATTTAACATTTCGAAGAATAAAAAACAAACAAAAAAGAGAGATACAGTATCATAAATGAAATAGCAGTTTCCAAACAACATTGCCTGTGTTTGACGAAGTTGAAAGCTTGTATCTCACGTTATGATGTAAGATTTGTGTACTTGTTTTTTTTTTGATAACTGAAGTGTTTAGCATACATATACTTGTACAACCGTTGACGTTCTGCTGAAGAGGTAAATCGTAATAAAATGTCATGTGTTTAAAAATGTCTCAGTGAAATGTTCCACTTCTCACAACACACTTGGTGCTATATATAATCGTACGTACATTGACAACGTACTTGTATAATAAGTATTATGTCTATAATGCACTTATCGGCGTTTCTATTCTGCCATTAAAACTAATGTACATAAGTGTAATTGCGTGGTACGCGTGTGTGGGGATAGAGAAAGGTAGAAAACTATGTGCGTGGGTATACCATATATATGTATACGCACACACGGACGCTGTACTAATATATACTGTAACTATATTACAGTGTATCGATATTAATTGATATATCGCCGCATGTTACAGCTACGTGACGATCACTCGTAGCGCAAGTAATGATGAGGATGAGAGATTCGGTGTTGTTTAAACAGTTGTGTGCCGTTGTATACAAAAACGTAGTGTAATAACAAAACAGTATGTCTTACATGCCAAATAGAGCACTATGCAGTATAAAAGTTTATATATCGTGTACACATAAGACGATGCTTTCGCGTGAAGATGTGTTGCGTAAACGTTTTTTGCGCGTGGTTTTCGGATTGGAGTTTTCGCGTTTTCGCGTCACATTCTCACATCGATAAAAGTACCGACATATCGCACAGTTTTCTTAAACTCTTTGAAACGAAACGAACTAAAACCGCCGGTATGAGAAATAATTCACAAAAACGTGAGGCTGCAATTCGAAAATCGCGCACAAAGATATATAATTTATGTTATTTTACACGTAAATATAAGTTGTTCTGAATATTTGTTCTGGTAAAATATGTATCATTTCTCTCGAGTAGAATTTTTTTCAATAACGATATGTACAAATATGTGTGTGTGTATGTGACATACGACCAAAGGCGGCAATCTCTATATAAATTTTTTATAAGAAAAAAATATTCAACTTGAAACATGTTGAATAAATCTTCAATGTCGTTTACTCCGTATATATTACTTTTCTAAAATATATGAAAATTATCAAATCTATACATATTTTGTTATATAAAAAACTTTTATCTCTATAACTACACACATATATATATATATATATATACATATATCGTCATTCTTCATTTATATTTAGTACAAACGAGAGTCGGATGTAAAACAAAATTGAGTGAACACGTTTTAAATGTCGCTGATCTTGTTTTATAGTCCAAGTTCTTCAAATAAGAATAGACACATTAAAAGCAAATCATTTATATGCGTGTAGCGAAAAGGAAAACTAGTATATAGACTGCCATAAGTGTAAGATTCGTACGGCGTATGTGTAAGTATGTGTAAAGAGATTCACTTTTTCACAAAGCGTTCAAAGTATTAAGAAATCTTGGGGGGTTTTTTTTTAAGGACTTTTCTTCATGCTGTAATCGACGTTTTTGCTAAATGTGAAAAAAAATAGTTTATAGTGTTAATAAAATAAAGAGGAAAAATCATTTACGATAATCTCCAAATAAAGTTACTTCGTTTTACAAAGTAACGTAGATTTATGCAAAAATTTTTATTTATACAAGCTTTTGCCATAAATCTTGGAATTTAAATGTAATTTAATACATTACCAAGAAACATATAATTAATAATTTCCGTAATGTCGCAATCTACACAAAAAAGCGGAGCCCGTTCTGTTCGCAATGCTGAGGTAACCGCTGCCGGGCGAATAAGCGATTGTTTGCGGCATGCCTATGTTGGTTTGAAAAGTCGGAAAATTCGAGAACACAGTAAAAGAGGGTATGTGCACCATTCTGAACGCGTTGTGTTTTTCAACCGACGCGGCGCTCAATATCTCGGTAGTCGGATTGAACTTCAAGCTGGTCACACTGGTCACAAGATTCGTCACCGTCTTCAGAGGTGCGGGACTTCGTTGCTCCAGCACCGTTTTCGCATCGTAGATATTAACTATACCGTGCAAACTGCCGGTAGCAACGAACTGACCGCTTGGCGACACATCGAGCGACGTGCAAGAGAAACATCCGTCATCTATGGCGCGATTCATACACTTTCGAGTATTCAGATCCCACACGAACATCTCGCTGGTGTCTGTATTTTGATAAAAAAAAAAGAAAAACATGCATAACTCCTTGGAAATCTTGTCAGAGAAAAAAAATTAGAGTGATAAAATTTGTGAGATCTCGCTTACCGCCGTGCGTGATTATTGATTTACTGTCTGGCGTAAACGCTAACGTTCTACATTTCGAGTTCATATTGAACGTGTCGATCAGTTCCTTTGTAGCGCTGTGTAACAAATGTATTTCACGCCGTTTCCCGCGCAACGCTATGAACTTGCCGTCTGGAGACACCTCGTAACGCTGAAGAGAGAACGAACATTTGCGGCTTTAAATCGAACCAGGATCAATTTGTATAAAATAACATGTGACAATTGTGCAAACCGTCATATTCGTGATCCCATGCGGCAGTGGTAGCTTGTATGCCTTGTCATTCATCAAGTCGTAAGTGTAACAATACGGATAATATTGGGAACCGAGCAAAACTTCCGTACCCTCCTTCATAAATGTCGCCTTACTAATCGGATACTTTTTAAATTCCATGCTGTGCAATTTGTCGTTTGTATGACCATCCACCTGTTTAAAACAAAAAATTAAAGTTCCATACATAAAAAAATTACATTCAACAGTATGTACTTCGCACAGAAGATACTAAATGCTACGGTGTGATTCAAAATTTAATTAAGATATTCAAACAAATTATATGCAAACCTGATATAATGACAAAATGCCCGACGAACCAGCAACCAAAGCTACCGTAGACGACGGGTGAAACTCCACACTTGAGATAATAAAACCTTCCGTGTGAGTACTTTTGTTCAAAGCATTCAGCACTTTGAGATCAATGATATTTTTCGGGAGATTTTTTATTTTTGGCGCTTCCAAATGGCAACTATGCTAAGTACGAAAGAAAACTATAATATGTGAGATCTGCAAAACTACAAAAAAAAAAGAAAAAAAAACAATATGTAAGAGATACCTTCAGGACATCAGCATCTATGTCATCTTCCTCATTCTTTTCTTTCTTTTCTAACTTAGCCCATTTTGGATCACCAACAAACAATTTATATCTGTTTTTCAAATACGTCGTATACAAATTTTCAGGTCTTTTACATGGCAATTTGCGATTCTGTGCATTCAGAGCTGTGTCAACACTAGAACATTAAAAGAAAATGTTAAAATCATATAGTTAAATATATTTTTTCCTCAAAATTACGTGATTTTTTATCGCGTACATACTCATAATTCAAATCATCATCGTCCACCCAAGCTGCCTTTCTTTCTTCATTTTGAACGTCTTTCTCGTCGACATCAGCAAGTTCATCCTTTACTTTCGATAGGACGGTTTCATCGTCCGGCAAATTATCGATGATATCATTCGTATTGCCAAAGACTATCTTTTCTAATCTACAAACCAAACAATATGTTAAAACAATAAGTCACATCCATATAGTCGTCTCGTTTTCTCGTACCTGGTTTCTTCTTCAGCGTTATAAATACTTTTCTGTTTTTTTCGTTTGGTCAACGGAGTGTTGAATTTTCTCTTGTACAATATCTTCGATTTTTTTACAAAGTTTTTCTCACGCTTTGCATGCTTAAAATCTGGTTTTGCTGATTTGTTTCTTCTTTGCTTAGGCTTAGGTTTCTTCTCTGTTTTCATTTCGCGTGGCTTAACAACAATGTGACAAGAAGAAATTCTGTATTTTTAGAAACGTCTTTTTTGTACCCAATTTCTTCACCTCTCTAAACAAGTTCTCGATAACGTTATCTAAAAGGTAAAGTACATCTAAAAGATAGCTATCGGGAGGTATAATGTGAAATCGGACCTTAGTTGTTTCTTTGACTTGACTTTTTCGCGGCTCGTAGGCAACCCATCACCCGTACTCCAGATTAATAGATGTTTCTTTGCATTTCTTCACATAACCTATACCATCATGTGTTTCCGTATTAGATCATACACGCAATGTGATCGCAAATCACCAATCGCATTTGCCTCGACTTGACCTTTTATTGGCTGCAACCCGGTCAACACTTAATTATTTGATTGGCCGAAAGTGTTAACCGTGATTGGTAGATCGTGCGACTTGCGGACTCGCCCTTACACTTTTGCGCGCAGAACGCGGCAACACGGTGACCAATCAACGTTATTTTCAAAAATAATGATTGTAATTTCGCGAGACGTCAATTGGCCACCGAGTTGTCGCGACGCGGGACGACCTCGCGGCGGGAGCCAATAAAAACTGCATCTTTTTCGTTGCTACAACTTTTTTCGAGGAGAAGATTTCAGAATTTCACAGACAAGTATGTTGATACAATAAAAGTATTTATTACAATGTATATATTTTTACAAATAGCGTTTGTTGTGCGGACACCACGGAACGTGACGTATAAAACGACGTGTACACGCATTTATATATATATGTTACATTGAGACACGTGTGTATTTTATATCAACAATCGTTGTAACGAGACGATGACAGATTCGAATCCACGTGATCGTTCGATCGGCGCGATGTGATCACTTAGGCTGATACTGCTCCACGGCTTCCAGAATGCTCTCCTGATAACCGGGCGAATAATATCTGAAATATGCAACAATTTTTTGTCTTTGCACAATGTGCGAATTGTGTCAACGAGAAGAGAAGCAAACAGACGCGCGACCAGAGATCTTGGTTTGCTTTCTGAATTGTCTATTTAAATGTTGTATTTTAATTTCAATATAATCGACTTTGTAAGAGAGAAAAAGGAATAAAAACAAAAAAAAATAGGAAGAGAGATAACGCGCGATAGATTAGTTATGTTGCAATATGCAATTGAAGTATCCGATTGTTATTTCTTTGTCAATTGACAACGCACGCAATGATAAAAAGAGAACTCAGCTGTTTATATAACGAGATCTGAGACAGTCGGAAATAATATTTCAAAATTTAACGTGTGGTGTAAATATACGTGCTGCACACGCACACACACATGCGAGGATAATAAATCGGGGACGTGAACGCGTTATTGATCTGGTAAAGCGCCTTCGCATTTGTGTATTTCGAATGCGATCAGCTGTGACAACATGGCGGGCGCCGCCGTCTATCACTCGGCCGATTTAAATTAAGACACCGTGGGATTGAAGAACGCGGAGCTGCGCAGTTAAATTCACACTCGCTTGCGGCGTAAACCGACGATCGGCGCGAACCCCAACTGGATTTTTAATAGACGCGAAACTGAGAGCGCGATTCGATCGTACAGCGTTTTCGCGCTCGAGTGTGTATCTTGGAAACCCCCTCTCCCGAAGTGACAAAGAAGGGTTATGCGTGAACAAGCAACTAGTGTTTTGAGTAAGTAATATACGCAAAGCGCAACGGGCGCCTCAGAGAGCTCTCTCTACGTTTTTCCGAAAACGCGTCCGGAAACTCGGAATCTGTGTGATTTGTATTTCTGAAGAAGTTGTGGCGATTGTGTGTGTGAAAAAAAAATCTATTGTCTTCTGGCAGTAAGTCTCTGTGTAAATCGAAAGTGCATAAGAAAGTCATTACAAATTAATGCCTTCGCTGTCCCTTACTTTTCAGCTCGCTTGCTTCGCTGAGAAAAGTGACAGCGAAGACACGGTCGTTGCGATGAAAAATTTGTATCAAAGAGTAAAAACGTGCGAGTGCAAATTAGAACTTTTAAAAGAAACAATTCGCGATAAGTACAATATTGTGTGTGAGAGGGTTGTGGGATGATGACAGAAAAAATATGTATTTATAACAATCTTATTGTCCAGTTTCTTTGATTCTTGAGTCGCAGCCAAGTAATAACCGAGATGTGTAAAGAGAAAAGAAAGTAACCTGACGAGTTCCTCAGGGTAAAACAGCAATTGATGATCGTTGTGTTCGTACAGCGTGGTTTGCCGGGTTCAGCCTCAATCTCTTGTAATTTTTTCAAGCCACACCAGATGTGACGAACAGTCTTCTTGCTCTTGCATCGCTCGGCAAAATCTGTGCATAAAAACAAAACGCACGGTGTCACAAAGTTGAACGAGTGGATTTCCACTCTGGAGAAAAAAACGTTCCTTTCTAGTTCTGTCTAAAGAAGGATTGAGGTTTGAGACAATCTGTTTCTTCTCTCTTCAAAACAGTTCACAGCAGTCTTGCTGCCGGAAGCGTGTTGCGCCGGAAACTTTGAGCAATCATAATGTATCATATGTTGCAACGCATCTAAGAATAGGGTTTCTGAAACCTGACCTGCACTACTATCTACGAGTGCGTTTGTCTCCGCGAGAAACAACCTACCAAACCTATTTTCTTGCGCAGCAATCCCGTGACAGAGCTTCAAATAAATCTGAATAGGAGAGAATGCGGCATCTAACCAGGGTGCCTGCGACTGTAGAGAGAGAGTCAACATGTCTAGAATATTTCGTTTCTTATTTTACAAATTACGCCTCTCGACGTCTACAATTTTATTTACACACACACATACGCACATCTCTTATTGATGTTTTCTCATTTATGTTGTTTGTTCACAGTTGGTGGCAAGATGTTGCAATTACATGCTCGATCTCGTAAACACATATACGTCAGACACGTCGCTATCATGTTTGTGACCTTAATTCTGATTCATCAGTTAAACGCTTGTTTGTTCCAATCGAACACATTCGCGTATCTTCATTGAATCTGATATCATCAATAATCGGAGATAACAAAGAATTCACGGAACTTTTTGTTCTACGACGTAGGTTGTAAAACAAAAAAATACAAATTATCAGCGCGTGATATGCAGTCGTTGATAAATGTTTGACCAAATACAATGTTTGAATTGGTCTGAATGTTGAAACTTTGAAACGAGAAAAAACTCTCTCTCTCTTTTAAAATTCAATGCAATACCGAGTTAAAAATAGTTAAGAAATTTTTGTCGCTTCTGAGCGTGTAATCTCGTTGAAATATGAAGCGATAGAAATAGAGAGAAAGAGACAAAGGGAAAAGAAAAATAGCAACGATTTTATAAGATATCAGAAAACTTACGACGAAGTAAAGAAGCTCATGAAATAAGAGAAAACTATCTCGAGCGGAGAGAAATGAAACAGTTTCTTAATTTTAGATCGCGCTGTTATGTGAAATTCTATTGACCGGTATTATCTACCGTCAACATGGAATTTTGTAAACAACATGCGCACCCGTCCCTCCACACACACACACACACTGTTATTAATAGCAGCAATTTTGACGTAATATTTACCACAAGACTGCGCTGCGCAGTTTTCTGAACAACATAAGAATAATTTATGCTCGCACTACAACACACGTAGCCACGTGGTGTTAAGATATATGTTAAAAAAAAATTATCATACGTGTTTACACGTAAACTGCGTTGTGTATATACGTATATGCGCGCTCATAGTTTTCTCGTTTTTATCTGTTTGCAGTTTGTCGTTTGATGTTGGATCATCAAAAAAAACATCACTGACATGTAGCACAAGAGCTACTGCGAGAGATGCTTTCTCAACTACATCGCATCGTTTGATAGCAACGAAATCAAAAAAAGCGTTCGTCGTCGATAGTCAAACTACGCAGTTCGAAGAGGAGGAGGAGCGTCTTTTGATCCGAAAAACAACCGACTGTTCCTTGCAAAAGGAAATATTCTATAACGTACAATCGATTCGCACTTAAAATTTATTTGTAACGCATTTAACAGCATTTCGAACTAACGTGTGTAATTACCTTTGGAACATTTGACCGCGATTTGAATTTTATCTACAACGACCGAAGACTAAACAAAAGTTTACGTAACGTTGCGTTAACTTGATATAGTAGTAGTAGTAGTAGTATTTAGTAGTAGCATCGCGTAACAGCAAACGCGATTCTCTCTCTCTCTCTCTCTCTCTCTCTCTCTTTCGGCGTGTGTAAAATTCTGACAACGAGACAAGACAGCTGCCTTAAATTTTCGAGATACGTGACAGCTCGAATGACGTAAAGCGTGAAAACGCGTTTTATCACTGTTCTTCTCAAAACTTGCATCGCGTATATTCGAGTGTGTGTTCGTGTGCACACTTATCTTATAAAATCTCTCTTCTGAGGATTCTCAATCAGTTGCCGAACACACGCGCGAAGAAACCAGCCGCTCGAGTCTGCGGTCTAAAACTATTGTAAACCGTTGCAGTGCGCAGATCAATTTCTCGAAACAAGTGTATTAGAAAAAGATCTACGTTTCAAGCGATTTGTTTTTTTGCTTGATCGCGTGTAATATACATCTGAGAGGAGAATAAAATCGAATAAAAAGAGAAACGTGGTGCGTGAAATAGAGTTGCGAGAGAAGAAGCGAGCAGCGGGATCAAAACTGGCGACCAAAATGATAAACAATCAGCATTGTGTGATTCTCAATACCGGCGAGACCAACAGTTATCACCAACCGGTTTCGGCCAAGCCCTCTGTCGTATCGGTGTCCAGCATCGATTCTGACGTCAGCGACAGAAGGGACGTGCGCGAGGAACTGTACGCCGGGATTTTTAGGAGGCACAGAAAAACTATATTGGTATTAGGCAGTTTTCTTAAGATGTTGAGGGTGAATAGAAACATGAACAATTACGCTAGCATTAAACCCAATGACGAAACAGACGAGTAATTTTTAATGTTGTATTTGTTACATATATATATCGAGTATATATATATATATATATATAGTACATTTAAACGCGGAAAAGAGATGACGCGCGCGCAACTTGTGATTTGGATTGTCGGTACGTTTGTTTTGTTCTTTCGCGAGAATAATTATTTACTGGCTCTAAGTTTTTCTTAACATGTAGAAAATTAAAAAAAAAAAAAAAAAAAATTGTATATAAATATTGTGTAAATACGTGAATTTTTGTATATTCGTAAAAAGCTTTCGTAAACTGTAAAATTAATTAGGTGACCGTATTGAGAGATGTAAAATAACAAAATTAAGATTTAGAAAGTTTTAAAATTTAACGAAGTGAAAACGATAGAAGAAGTTTGAATATATTCTGTCGCGGTATCACGGTTACATCAAATATTTGTTTTCGTTTTTTTTTCTTTTTTTTAATTTATCTCATGAATGATTTACGACGAGAGAACCGTTTGACGATGTTTACTTTGCAATTTTAAAGAGGGAAGAAGCTTGTTTTGTTCCTCTCTTTACGTTTACCAATATATTTACTGATAAAATAACGAGATCAATTGAATAGAACTGCCAGTTGAAAGAGGTCTACACTTATAAATAAACATAAAACTTCTTACATATTTATGAACACTTTAGATATATACAAAAAACTATATACAAGGAACCTGAGAAAAAAAAGATTTATTCTGTAAACACGGATATAAATCTGCCTATCGAATAAATGGTTTCTAACGTGTTCCACCGTATCGTCATTGGTTTTAATGATTTTGAAAGTCCAATAACGTTTTTTACGTATGCGAAGTCGATATACAATGTAATTGACGTGTGTGAAACAACAATTTATTTACATTTCTTTATTTTAATTGATCACACGTGAATGAGTGCCGAGGTTTTTAAATAATCTGTTTTTTGTTTTACAGAAATACTTGGACAGATTGCATGCTCTGAGCCGAGTATACGCCTTAATTGCTTTAAGACGCGAAACGTACCAAAAATTTTGGTAAAATCGCTGCTTTTCCGTTTTATCCGGATTACACACTTTGCATTGTACAGTTTTTTTTTTTTTAACAATTATTTGTTTCCACATGTTGTGTTGCTTCATGTTCTCAAGACGTAATGTTTACGTTTTCATGGATGTTTATAAATATCGTTGAACTTCACACTTTTACAACACACAAACTCACATACACACTTGTACGTGCAAAAAGTTTTGATAAAAACTTTTTGCACAATTGAAAGTGCAATTTCTGTTGAAGGTATCGACTGTTTTTGCCAATATAATCTAAAGTAACACATTGAATTGATCACTTTAATGTAAACCGCAATTATTGTCTGTGTTAATGTTAACGAGCTTAATACTGTTTATCAGAGAACGATATACAAGGCGAAAGCGTACGTAGACTTAAAAATACGAAACTAATAAGAGATTTGTACAACATAGATATGGACTAATGCGATTACAATCAAAACCGATTAATCGATAGTTGAACTTCTTTTCTTCTAGTTTTGTCGATTGATTATCATCGACCAGCACAATTTTTATCGCTCGAAGAAAGGTAGTTTTTTTTCTTTTTTTCATAGATTGCGTTGCACTCAATTCAATCTCTGAACTTTTTTCTGGTCACATCGGAATGCAAAGTTGTTGAGAAAAAGAGCTCGGAAATTAATCACTTCGGCAATATTTTCTCGTTGCTAAACTAATTTGCGCTATGTAATTGATCTTTGCTTTTCGCGACAAGTATTTGTTCACTACAGAACTATAGTCCATATCTAAATTCTTTTGTAAGAACGGTCTTTGTATCAAAATACACACATACTGCCATTAGAGACTAAAAACGATAAACAATTGCGTTTAACGTCCTTCTAAAAAAAAAAAAAGAAAAAAAGCAAACTCAAACGACGACGAGATTTAAATTTCGAATATCCTCTACTTGTAAGCCAAAAAAAAAAAAATATATATATATATCTGTACTTATTGTTAGCCGAACCATTCGCTGTCGTAAGACTGATTAATGTGCTCTTTTGGAACATCAAACGTGCCATACTGTGTTTTAGAGAAAATGTCAGACACAGGGAGAGAAAAAGAAGAAGAAAGAAAAGATAGATAGAGAGAGAGAGAGAGAGAAAAGAACTTCTTACGTGTATTTGTCGACTTCTGAATTGCTCTCAATCTATCGTCAAGCGTACATGTAAATTGACGCGATGCATATCTCTATCGATGTTGTTTTACGATAGTGACGACATACACACACACACACACAGAATTGTATTTTGTACCTTATAAGGCTGCACGCAATCGGCTGCGATCGCAATCGAAATGAAAAATTATTTTGTCTTGATAAAAAAAAAAAAAAAAAAAAAAAACTTAATCGAAAATGAAAAATCACGGCTACGATGTAATAGAATTCGATCAAAAGGATCCGTAGGATAGAATCGACAATTTGCGCGATTGCTTTGTGCGTATTGTACATGCGTTATACGAGATATAGCGTTAGAGATATTAAAATAAAAGAGGAGTCTGTGACATTTTTAAGACACATATTTAGATTTGTAAGCTATTCGTATACACCTTACAGTGTAGTTTTTCTTACGAACTGACGAAACAAACATTCGCGCGCCTTTACCGCAGCTGCTTGTATGACCAATTTTTAAGTAGAGCAAACAAACTTTATACATATATATATATATATATACATATATATATACATATATATGGATATACATATAGTGAACGCTTCGTCAGGATCGCTTGCTTGTATTTAAGTATCGCGTGACTTAGATGTATACTTTAATTACAAGATGACGAAGAGTTTTATTTGGAAACGAGGCGAAGAAACACTTTGTCTTTGCATTTGTCAATCGCCAAAAGACTTTGCGTGATTTTTTATGAAACAAAAAAAACAAGAACCGCGAATCCTAAATGCATTATTGTGTTGTAAGTCACAAAAAGTTTATATTGTCACTTTGTATAACGTGTCGTCGTTGTGGAGCGCGTATCGCACGAAGAATTGTAACATTGTGAAACACAGAATAAAAAGGTAATTCATATTATGTTTAATAAACTTTCGAGAGAGAGTCAAGTTTTGTTTTTATCCCGCCAATTGTCTCATCGTTTCCCATCGTTGGTTGTTGCCGAAAACTAGATTGCTTCCCTTGCTGAATTGTCCCAGCACGCATTTGAGAATGTTGGGAGGTACGTCGTGCAGGCAAACAGATGGCTCAAACAGATTCCATTTTCCAATGGCACAAGTTTAGTATGTGACCAATAGCAATTTTCTCTCCGAGATATAAATTTCAAATAACTCGCTGTTATTAAATGCACTCTTACACAACAAACAAGATAACAAATATACTTCCTTGAATATACTTTCTATATTAAACATATATTTCTTATTACTTGACACTTTCTGCATATAACTTTATTTTACAAACAAATATTTATGTATAAACACACAACGTGTCCTTAACTTTTTGTATGCGTTTTTTGTACAAATATCGAATGTTTCTCTCTTACATTATTATTTATACAAGCTAATCTTATCTTTAAAGTTTATACATTAGGTGTTAGCGGGCTTGCCAATTAGTTCTTGTTCTCTGCGCAGCTCTTGCTCGCGTTGTTGCTCCCTGTTCAACGCTTCCTTCTGTTTTATCTGTTGCAAACGTAAAGCTCGCTTCTACAATATAAAAGTATTTCTGTAAGTATAAAAACGCTTTCATCACACAAACGTACGAAGGAAACAAGTCGACAAGTCACCTTCAACTTGGTAGTCCTCTCGTGAATATTAATCATCTCTTTTCTTATCGACACTAATTTTCCTTGATAAACTTTAATAACCGCAAACTAAAACGTATATTGTGCATACAATAAGAGAAATGTCAACGGTCTAAATATATAGTTTATGCACTACTGATCTTACCATGTCGTTTAGATCTACATCTTCAAACGTTTCATTTATCTTCTTGTTCTCAACCTGCATTCGAACAAGGAGAGCTTCTTGTTTGTTTCTAAAACAAGAATATAACACAACAATCAGAGCGTAATTTGTGTTGCTCTTATTGTACTTATGTAATTACAACGTACGTTAACTCCAGAAGATCTTTCTTGACTTGTTCTAACGGAGGTTGATAAATTTGTAAGAGACCTTCGGTCAGCTTTTCCGTGACTTCTGAGAAGTTGATTTCATTTTTGCTGTCAGAGAATAAATTCACACATTGCTACGTAAAATGGAAGTCTATAACATTAATACACTATTAAATATGATTTCATTATGTTGTAACCTAAAATAAAGTCAGACTTGAGTCGTATTTTACATTTTTTTAATAAATATAAAAAACTTTTTTATTCGGACTTGATTTGCTCCTACAATATGAAACAACATAATATAAATCAACATAACATAAATAAACATTGCGTTTGCTAAGTCTGTAATGCAAGTATGTGAAATATATAAATCTTGTTAATTTATCGAATAAATTTTGAAACATTAAGAAATTGAAATTTAAAAAACCATGTATATTAATCAGAGAAGTGTAATTGTGCGATAAAAAATTTAAATACACAAACAACGTAATGTGCAAACAAATGTCCGAGGAGGTTACCTTTCTAGTTTCTCATTTCTTAGCTCGATCTCCGCTGCTTCAGCCTCTCCTACGTCAGTCATCATTTTTTTCTTGTTTTTTATTCACTTCAGTCACTATTACACGCGTCAAGCATAATCGTGCGCATTAAAATATTTTAAAGAAATAAACAAATTCTTTCTGCGTGCCACACGGGCGATGTTTGTACACATACGTGCAGAGCGGTGCTTTTCACATGTGTGTCAGCTGATTTCTGTCACCTGTTCTGTGGTATACGTACAATCTGCACTGTGCGCATAGCGCCATCATGTGTTGCAAGTAAAGAACATTTACCAATTTATTTTAGCACAAAATGTTTACGGAGACTGAGTGACTAATAGAGTTAAAAAAAGAGATTGATTGTGAGAATGGTTACTAACGTAGCGATGTATGTTACATACGTAAGATTTTATCGAATTGAAATAATTAAAGGCTGAATTGTTACGTGCACATATTTTTTAAGTGCACATGTTTAAAGTGTATCGACAGCCAAGAAAACATTCCCGGTAGTAACACAAATACGTAATTTTCTTTGTGTTATATATTTTGCAGGTGATAAAATGTATAGCTTTTCTATCTATAATTTGCTTTAAGTTTATAATTAAAATAATTTGTAAAAGGTATTTGTTTTGGTTTTTATATATTAAGTTGTGTGTCATTTGTGTTATATTTGAAGTTATACTTGCAAAAGTTTAATCATTAATGGTAACATTTTATAGACACAAGGATATTTA